GTGTAAAGGGAAACTGAATCACTAAATATATAGCAACTAGCTTTCTGCCCGCAGCTTCGCCCGCGTGTAGTTCGGTTATATCGCGTTTCCAAGAGAACCTTTCAAAAGTCTGGGATAAAAACTATGCTATGTTCTTTCTCAAGGTGAACTCTGTCTGTACCAAATTTCATTAAAATCAGTTCAGTGGTTTAGGCGTGAAAGCGTAACAGACAGACAGACAGACAGAGTTACTATCGCATTTATAATATTAAGTAAAGATTGTCAAGGCCTATCACACGATCCCTAAGTGGTCATCACTCAGCCGATATAAATTTTCCAATTGTTTGTTTATAAAATATCAAAAGAACTACTATTTTCTTATAATTACGATTTTGTTTTAGTTCCACAATAGGCAATGATTGATTTAATTGCTTTAAGATAATTAAACTAACTTTGATATATGATGATGTTTCTTGCTTAAGGTAGATAATAAAACAAAAAACAAGAAAACATAGTTGCTTGCGCATTACTTGAATACACATAAATAATATAATATAGTTTATTTACTTATAAAATACTCTTGAATCTTGTAGTATTATAAAAAACTCATAGAATGCGACATGCGTCTCTTAAAATCTTGACAAAATTCCTACTAATTTTATAAATGCGAAACTAACTCTGTCTGTCTGTTACGTTTTCACGCCTAAACCACTGAACTGATTTTAATGAAATTTGTTACTGATATAAAGTTGACATTGAGAAAGAACCTAGGATAGTTTTTATCCCAGATTTTTTAAAGGTTCTCTTGGAAACGCGATACAACCGAACTTTACGCAGGCGAAGCCGCGGGCGGAAAGCTGGTAAATAATAATTACAATAATCGTATGCCTTATTATTATATACATAAGAACGATATTTATTTTAAATACAAACTTGTATTGCAAAACCGTGTGTTATGTCCCACGTTCAGTTTTAAAGTGTTTATACATCACATCATTACGCAACTTCCTTATAATAAAAGTTGGAAGCGAAAACCCGTTTATAGCTAGACCGCATTGTCAGAATTTCTTAACCGCTACACTAGTGAACGTATAAGCATCTTTGTTACGCGAAATATGTATTAATAATTGTGTATATGAGGCTGGAAACTTATGGTCATGTAGGCAGTATGGCGCCCTTTGACGCTTTGTCATATATGCTTAATTATGGAAATGAATGTTGATCATTTTGCTGTAAGAGTGTCACTCTTGTATATAATATTTCTTTGTAGTGTTATAGAAAATCGTTTGGTAGTTTTTGAAATAAATATCGACTTAGACACATCATTTAATTGTTTCACATTAATCCCATGAAATGCTGAGAAGTTTTTTTCTAATATGTGTATAAATTTGAGTGAGAAAAAGTTTTTTTTTTCACTAATTGCCTGTCTATGTAATTGAAGATGAAATTTTGTAATATATTCGGAGACGTCAATTTTATTCAAAGTTAATGATGTATTTGTGGAGTTTCGATTATGATATTTATTGTTTTAATTCCGATTTTTTTTCCAATTTTATCTAAATAATTTAACATTATTATCAAACCAAATAAATTATCACAAGTATTTAAAGGTACCTCATCTGCATTTACTGTTCGTGTAGGTTTTGACTTGCATTTGACGATTTACCTAAATAAACAGCCTAACATATTAAAACAACTCAATCAGCTTAAGATAAATTATTATTTAATAATAATAAAGTGTTCAGAACATCGAAATGGTTATTAATAATTCTTCCCAGCTTCATACAGAAAGTGTTGTGTAAGCTGTTTTGTTTGTTTAATTGAGATATTGGGCCGTATTGATATTTTAATCGGACGATTTCACTAATAGGAACGACTTCGTTTGACCTAATTTCAACCAAATACAATGACTATTCCCCGAGAACACTTGATAAATCTAAAACAGCCTGTAACTAATATAAGTGTTACCATATCAAATGTACTATTAAACTATTGCAAGAAGATCATCTTGAGGAATATTTTTTTAGGAATTTATAAAATCAACGTAATTTTTTTGTTGAATAAGACAATATTTATTTGTTCTTTATCATTTAATGTCATCATTATTTTCATCCTTTTTCTTTTAAATGGCAATTTATTAATATAAAATATATTATTAGTTAATGAAGGTGTAAGAAGTTTTTTCGTATTTCCCATGACCTGTATGTATGAGGCACACAATGTTATCGTCTTTTATTTTTTTATAAACTCTCTTTATAGTGTGTGTGTCTGTTTATATGTGTATAGTTGACAATTGGGAGGGTACCTGCAAGTAACACGTCATTTTACTTATAACTTATAAGAATAACTTTTCTAAAAAATTCTTCCATAGCTTATAATATACTAGCTTTCCGCCCGAACCTTCTCCCGTGTGGAGTTCGGTTATATCGCGTTTCCAAGAGAACCTTTCAAAAGTCTGGGATAAAAACTATCCTATATTCTTTCTCAAGGTCAACTCCATTTCTGTACCGAATTTCATTAAAATCAGTTCAGTGATTTAGGCATGAAAGCGTAACAGACAGACAGACAGAGTTACTTTCGCATTTATAATATTAGTAGGGATATAAGACTTATACTAATATAAATTAATAAGTTTTACTTTGTCTTTATGTTGATTATATTTTCTTCAGTTTTAATAATATAAAAAAAATCAAGAATTTTAAACATATTATGCTTTTATTCAAATCAAAAGTTGCAATACTAAAATGACTATTGAACGTAAAAGAATTAAAGAACTTGTAACACAAATTCATCTTAATTTATAACAATACAAAATACATATAATATGTTAATAATTATTCAGTAATATTTTTTTATAAAAAGCATTGAAGAATATATAATTGAGATAAAAGTCAAGCGATACGCGTCCAATTAAGACTTGCAAACGTCTGTATGGTTACTCAATGATGCAAAACAAACTCTCCACTTGGATGGCTATGTGAGTGCCACACTGGAATGTATTAACAAACTGGATACAGGCAGATGTTACAGTTATAATAAAACTAGCTTTTAACGCTGACTCCGCACGGATTTAAACTTATATCGGTCAAATCCCGAGACATCGATGTCAGAAAATGCTTGTAATTTATGCATTCTGAACATTTTGACATAGTAAAGTACCTACAGTTCGTGTAATACTAATGAACTTTAGCGATAATAATAGTAAGTGAAGGAAGCCGTATAAGAAATTTTTATTTATAACGTACATCGGTTGACCTTTCAGAAACTTTATAATAACGAATGATTCAATTCACTGCATGCTATGGAAGGGTTTTATAGCTGTTACAACGAGGGGTTACTTTATTAGTCGTTTCGACCGAACGCGAAGGGAATATTTATAGGTAAAAATTATGACAGAAATTTTTGTAGTGTAGGGTAAAAAAAATTATGATCATGATATTTGGATAAATAAAAATTAATATGTAAAAATATTTCTCTTGTATGTGAAAAAAGTACACAGGAGTTTGAAGAGTATAAGTGAATATGGTTCCCACGTATCCCACAGTCGCAATATATTCAAAGGGATTCTTTTGTATTTTTTTGGCACACTACGTCCCTTTCTACCCTCAATGTACCCGCCGGTTCTCTCGCACCCTTTGTGATTTATAACCCTGTCAATGGACGCGACTCTTCCCGTAAGTGGCACTCGTTAATTCCATTTCTAAAAAGGACCAACGGATGTGTTGTCTCCGGTGTTGTCAGCGCTCCAATGAAGAATTCAAAATGCCGCTTGTTCTTCATAGCGTTTCACCGGTTGATTAGATTTCTGGACGGAAACAGTGTTAGTTTGACGGGATGAGGACGGTTTATGGCGATTTTTGTTAACGTCCATACGGCTGTATATTATCAATTTGTTCTTCAGCGTTGCGCGAGCGCCGCTTGTTGTTAGTTGCGTTCAAAACACGGACAAGAGCAGCCGTTACGGTAATTGTTCCCGTTCAGACAGACGCTTATATTACAATATATTAATAAAATACAACCAGTACTCAAGTAACATAAAAATTTAAAGTATATGCAAAAAACCGTAACGTTCTAGAAGTTTTAGTGCAACCAAATTATAGCATTTTTTTAAGAGTGATGAGTAATTTTGCGTGAATTACTATCAGTACTCGTTTACATATGATATCGGACTGATAGAGGTTGGTGATAAGTGAGACTTGCTTGCACACTGTAATAGATTGTGTTTACGTGTTTGGATGTATTTTTAGTGGCTCATATGTAACAGTGATTGTGGTCATGTATGAGTGATGCGCCAGCCCGATGCAAGTGTAGCGTTGGACCTATTTTCGTAGCACGGAAATAAGAGAGCAAAGGGAGCAAAAAGCTCTCACCACCTAAAAACTTGAGGACGCACACGTCTAGTCAGCGTCTATTTCTGTTATGCTCAGTATATATATAATATCAAAATGAAGAAAATGACAATATTTAAATTGAAATCGATTTTCGGTTCCAAGAAAGGTGAGCAGTTTTTTTTTATGTGCCTTTATTAAATTGCAATGCTTCGTTTGTTTAAATATTTGTCACGTGCTGGCAATTGTTTTCTCGCAGCTGGCCTGTAAATCATATTGATTTGAATTGTTTGTTATGACTTGTTTATAACAGTTGCATAATTGTTATACATGTGATATTGATTGATTTTATTTAATGAAAACTAGGTATATTTCAAATACGTAATTAAAGAGTAAAATATTTTATAAGTGTAGCTATATGTTCCTGCATTTTAATGTCATTAAATTATACAGATTATATAATTATCTAGCGAATGTTCGGGTATGAAAAAACTATTGGGTCACAGAGAAAAAATTAGATACGATATGAAAAATATAGATACTTCTTTCTTCTATAACAAGTACACTACCGTGTCAAAAGTAAATAGACACCTACAGGTGAAAAGATTTATTAAAAATATGAAAGCGGGTAGTTATAAAAAAAATATTACAGTATAGTAGGAAGTAATCTCAGTTTATTTATACGATTTTAAAATGCCGCGGACAAGTGGGTCACTAGAATTAAGCGATTTTACTCGAGGACGCATTGTTGGCCAATATGAAGGTGGTAAATCTCAGCGTGAAATCAGTGCTGGATTAAATGTGCCGTTGTCTACCGTTAATCGTGTCATCGTGCAGTTCGAAAGGAATAAGAAGACAAGTGTTTCCCCACGATCAGGAAGACCTGGACCTTCTGACAGGCAAAAACGGGCGTTAGTTCGTGAAGTTTTAAGAAATCCCGAAAAATCTGTTAATGATGTGGCTGTAACCTCAAATTTATCACGAAGAACTGTTCAGAGGTACTTACATAGTCTTGGCTTTTATAAGAGAGTAGCAAAAAAGAAACCTCTGTTGACAAAATTTCAAAAAAAAAGGAGATATGATTGGTCACAAGAAATGATTTGTAAGGATCTTAACTTTTGGAGGCACGTGATTTTTTCGGATGAATCCAGATATTGCCAATTCAGTGACAGTGGACGAAAATGGGTGTGGCGTCGCTCTGTAATGCAATTGGAAGACCGATATTTACAGCAAACTGTGAAATACGGCGGTGTGAGTGTTATGGTTTGGGGGGCTATTTGGTACGGCGGTAGAAGTCGTTTGGTGTTCTGTGAAGGGACAATAAATGCTGAAAAATATATTGACATTTTAAAAGAGGGACTCCTACCGATCTTTGATGAAAGAAATTTGAAACGCGAAGATTACTTTTTCATGGAAGATGGGGCACCATCCCATAGAGCTAAAAAAACAACTGCCTGGAAATCCCAAAAAAGGCTTAATATTCTCCCGTGGCCAGGTCAATCGCCCGATATGAACCCTATTGAGAATGTCTGGCACATTTTGCAAATGAATATTGCGAAAAGACCTCAGAAGCCCTCGAATAAAAAATAATTAGAGGCGATGTTGATTGAGGAATGGAGTAATTTAAGGGAAGATCAGATCGATGGTTTGATAGATACTATGACAGCTAGGATAAAAACCTTATCTGAAAAAAAGGAGGATCGACACAGTATTAATTATCATCTATTAGTTTTTTAATTAAGTAAAAAGTTTTTTTGTAATAAATATTTTTTTGAAAACTGCCCTGTCTATTTACTTTTGACACAGTAGTGTATATAGTTTTGAAATAATTAATATATTTTTTTAAACCGTTTGATTCAATTTCTTTTATAAAATGGCTACCGAATCGTGATTCTAACCTTCAAATTACAAAATCATGAATTTTGTGAATGTTGGTTCTTAACGAAATTGTTTTGTTATAATTCTTGCATGAAATTATCATTAAACCAATAAAATATTTTACATTTAAACAATAATCGCAAAGAGAATAAACGAGTTTATATATTTTTTTCCAAAAAAAATAACTACTTTAAATTTTTCTACTCACTATATTTTTTTTTTGTGAATATCTGATTTACATATTTCAAACCTACCATTTTTTTTTACCCGATCTATGACTAAAAAACTATGATTTTTGATCTTTCTTTTAATATTTCTGTTTGCTGTTGTTTCTAATAGAAATGACGAAATATTATTTTGAAAACATCCATGTACAACAGTTCTTACGTCCATACATTTGAACCATCCATTTGTATCGTAATAAATCTCGCATTAACTGCACAGTGCACTACACCTCAACACGCGTGCATTCAATGAAGCGTCCCAGAATCACCAGTTATTTATTGATAATATTGAAATTAATTCATTGGTTATAATTTCGCTTGCATTCCTCTGTTAATAACGTTTCATAATTTTATAAATTTTCTCCTAGCAGATGTATTAATTTTATTTCACTAACTCAACATCATCCAATGAGACAGCTGCTCTTTCAGTTTTAACATCCTTGGAGTGTTTTTAAATAGTGTTATAAATCACATGTCAGTTTTAACTTAAAAGCGTACACATCCTCTTTATAATTATCAGATGGTTAACGGCTAATTTCGTTCGACGAATTTACTAATTAAGTTTTAATTGAATTTTATGTTAATTGTATGTGTGCGAACAATGTCAGTCAGTGCTAATAGTGATCGGTGTTCGAGTGTTTTGTATGTGATAATGTAAATAAAAAGTATAGCGATAACCTACAGAGTTTGCTAAGCTATTGATAAGCACGTGGGTTATTTGAACCGTCCGTATTGTTCACTAGCCAGTGTTTAATATATCGTGCTCATAGTTACAAGTTTCAGTTGTTTGTAAGATGTTGTCTTGCTTCTGCGGACAGAGAAAAGGTAAGGTGCATCATTCCTATGATTATTTTTTCGTATTTCGAGACCATATTACGCGAACTTCGAAACTGTTTTAGCGCGAATAACTAGAATAGTTAATATTTAATGTTAGAATTTCACAAGTAACTTAAATGCACCTGACGATGCAAAGTAAATGTCAAAACCGTTTGCAAATGCGTACAGCAAATAAGTCGTTGCAAAGTCTCAAATAAGCCAATGTCTTTCATTATGTGCATTTGAATGTTGTGAAGAATTTACATAGTGTATAGATATTTTTAACGTTTATTTGTTGAACTTTGATACTTCAAGGTTTATGAAGAAACCTTATAATATATTTATATAGTATTTTAAAATATTTATATGTGTGGAGTGATTGAAGTTGCTTATAAACGTACAATTCCAAATAAAATAAAGAGAACTCCTTTTGGGAGTGCATTCTATGTGAAATATCTAGCTACATCGTTAATTATAAAGATTAATACTTCAACATTAGACCCCTAGAAGGTTGAAATTCACAAATCAGCCCGGCAGATGGAGCTGAACGTAGTATTTAGGTCATTGAAAGTTAAAAGCCTATAATGTAGTTATTGTTTTGACACTTAATTCATTTCTCTTTACGCGCTGATCTTGACGAAGACGAAATCGCAGGCAAAAAGTAGTATACCTAATATATAATAGTATTAAATTGTATTGTTTAAATATCTCAAAGTTATTCGTTTGGATCAAAACGATGCATTTATCAAAGCTTTCATCTATTGTGTTTGGATTGGATCACAAACGTTTTGTGTTTTTGTTACGCCTCCAGTGAGAGCGTCGCTGACCTATAAATCTTTTATGTTTGCCTTTCAGTACGTTATCAAGCGTTATACGGAGTTTACATTTCATAACTTATGTGGTCTTAAACTGAATAACAGAAGCTAAGTTATAAGAATAGACGAATTTAAATTCATATACCAATGTATAGGAGTTCAGTATTGAATAAATTTTAGTTTTTATGTCAGTATTAAATAGAAAACGAATAGCAAATGCTATAAAAATTTCAATAGAGATCTTTAAAATAAATTGTCACTAAAATTTAAATGTATTTACAATGTAAGCAAATATTTAAATTATTGTAATGAATTCAGTATTTTTTATATTACATAAAAAAATCCAGTTTTTCGTAGAAAACTTGTTAAACAATAGTTTTGTAATACATTAATATATTATACGTAAAAAATTGTGTTTGTAATAATGATTAATTCCAAATTATTTTTCATTCGATAACATTATACATAAATGTTTATTTATATAACTACGTAATATATTATTTAATACATGAAGATAAGTAAAAAAATTTATCAATTGCTTCATATATTTTTCTTGTTATTATATTCGTAGCAAATATCATATAAATAACATTGTATATATATTATTATATCAAATAACATATTAGATATCCGTCTCACTAAATATCGGACGAGTTGAGACTTGAGCTCACACAGCGTGAACGTTCAAAGATTTCTATATGACTATCGGAAATATGATGCAGATTGCTTTCTCTATTTTAAGATAGTTTTGATATAATTATTAAAAAAATACCTACTTTATTGATATCTATTACTTTCTAAATCATTTTTGTAGGTAATAGAATGGAATTTAGATGCTAGCATAACCTTTTTTTGTTTTAAAACCAAATATGGAAGTCTGAAGAATTTGTCAGTGAAAAAACCTGATAGCTATATCAGTAAGACAATAATCGGAACAATTTTGTTAAATCAAAAGTATCCCAAGTATTACGTCATCCCAAATAAACTCAACGTATTAAATAACAATTCCCCAGCAACAAGATACATCTTAACTATTTGTAACAAAAATATTAGTATCGTTTGCGGTGTAAACAATTGTCAGTATTAAAATATTCTTCGTTCAAGATGAGCATCCTTTGTCTGACCTTTGTTTACATAACTTTGTACAAACAAAGTAATATCTAATATTATTCTCACGACAAAGCACGAATGTCTGGTACGTAACCTCTAGATGAAAGTGTCCGACATTGTCTAATGATGTATTAATCTAACAGTCGACTTTTTCTCACGTGATCCATTACGGACAGCGGACAATGCGTGAAAATTGGAAATTGATGTTGTATCTATTACAATTTGAAATGTGCATATGTTGTAATAATATAAATATACTGTTTTATGTTGAAAGCAGGTTAAAATGTATGATTATATGTATTTACTAATGATTAGGATAATTATTGAATCAGATCTCAATATCTTTGATCATTGAACGTCTAACTGATATTCTCTTTTTCTTGCTAATTAAATGTTAAAAAGTTTAAACCCATTTTTAATATTACTAATGTAGGTATTATGTCTCATTGTGTCAAATATATTTAATTCAACTTACCCAGAACAAACATAATGAAAACTCGTCTAATTGCAAAGTGTTACTTTAAAAATAGTACATCCATCCAATAAATGACTCGAGCACTTATTTATGTTAAGGTAGTGCTCTGTGAAAAATCAACAAAATAGCTATAAAACTTATTAAACAAAGTTATTAATAAATATTTACTGTTCTTCATACATCAATTTCACTAATGTTACAAAAATTTTAAATACATAATTACAATGAACAAAAAATTCGGGTCATTTTAAATTAACAACAATTTATTAAAGTTATACTTAAATTCAAAGTATATTTTATAAATAAATGCTTTTCCTCTTTGTTTAAAAAAAAACTTTTTGTATACATTAGCCTTATAAGCATGTAAGTATATTCCAATGATTTTAAAAGCCATTATTATCCAGGAATTAAGTTACCACCACAATCATTATGCATAACTCAGTCGCGCGCGCTTTAATCTTCTTACCGTTACGTCTATCCAGACTTCACTGTTTGAATAATAATATTTGATCTAAACAAAATGTTGTAGAATGTTTTAAAGATGGTATGTTTGCTTCAAAATCACCCTAAAGGCAGACCAACCCCACTATTCAGTGCCAGGTATCACCAAGCACAGACACCCCACAAAATTCTGTGACAATTTGACATGAGATCAAGGAACATTTAAGTAACGAAATATGAGTAACAATCACCTTTAAAGCAACATATATTTTCTTTTTTATGGTCGTTCAACAGATCGATAACTTTGAGATAAGACGACCAATAATTTATTATAGGTTTCTGTTCAGACCTTCGTTAAAATTCAGCGGTAATTGGTAACATTAAGGTCAAGTGCTGCGGCTGCGATCAAAAGAACCATAATTTATTAAGCTCGGTTACATAAATATGTAATTGTTATATAACTCATTATTTTTACAGAAAGACAATAATAATAATAATTTGACTGTTGATATATGATCCCTTTCGATACATTTTGTTATGGAAACAAAGCGTTTGTTTATTTCTCAACCCTTTCATGTTTTTTGACGGCAACCTTTTTAACAGAACCCATTTAAAAATACCTATAACAATTTACTCCCAGCACGCGTGGGTTGTGTGACTTGCATATTGGATTCACTGACTGCTATTGAGATTTGAGAACAGTGGTTATATTCTTGGTAAGGTGATAATTTTTAAAATCCTGCACATATCCACTGGATGGAATGTAATACAAACGCCTATTGTTTAGTTAAAATAAGACGACCTTGTATTTTTTGTGTTGCCTCTGCCTGAATTTAATGTGATTATTAATTCATCACACGCCCATATTTCTCGACCCGTATTCAAAATATACGTGTTCTGATGAGGTCTTACTAAAACTGATTACCAGTTTTGTTCATTATTTGAACACAATTTGGATATCATTCTAATACTTTATATAGTAATATACAGACAGTGGTGGCCTAGTGGTTAAAAGGGCCGCATGAGGGCTCGGGTTCGATCCTGGCAAGTACCAATGTGATTTTTCCGAGTCATATGTATTTTCTAAGAGAATGTAGGGAATGCATTAATCACTGATTAATGCATTCCCGAAGAGAGTTGATGTCAGGCAGGCGGCCGGTTGTAAAAACAATAAGCCAAATTTATTTACAAAATGTAAGGCAGACCCTGGCTAAAGCTTGGAAATTGCCAGGTAGAAGAAGAAGAAGACCTTATATAGTAATATGGTTAGCTTTCCTTTAAATCAATAGTACATATAGTTATCAATAGTTTTTAATCAAAATATAATATTCTACATAAATAAAAAAGTTGACCGGCGTTAGCCTGTTTAAATAATGCCATAGTGATCTTAAACCAAGGTCGTAAAACTCGTTCTGGCACTGAATGAAACATCCCAATAATATACACATTACATACACACTGGTTGTAAAGGTGTGTCCACACAACCGGAATCGGCTGTCGTTTAATGTGATTATGAAAAGGAAGCGGCTACTCAACGTCAAGTCTGAAACTATTAATGGAATACTAAAATAAAGAGTCTTGAACTTTAAAAATGTTTTGTTGGAATTTTACGTTATGGAAATATTTTTCGTGACTAATTACTTCTTACTTCGTAGTATCAACATACGTCTTCGAGAAATCAAAATTCATCTATCATTATGTGTGTATAGGAAGAGAGACTTCAGTGAAAAAACTTAATACAAGAATACAGTTACGAACTAGATTATTATGTAACTTTATATACATATTCACCTGAAAACAAGGATATATAAATTCGTCTAAATTATAGGTGCATAAAACTGGGTTTAGCTCTTACAACTCATGCAATTTTACTAATTAATTTCTTTTATTTATATGTGTATTTACAGTGTAAAGCCATAGTGTATCAAATTTTTATACTATTGTTTTTCATTTACTATATTTTACAATTAGATTTACATTTGGATTCCTATATATCTATCGAAATCGCGATAAGTTAATCTTATTATAATTTTATGTTCACAATAATGTATATAGTGTTGTGTTGTATCAGTTTTCCTTATGCCAACAATTCATTATCATACTAATTTGCAAACCTGCTGTATGTCTTACTGTTACCCCTACCACGAGTTCCAATTTTATGAACGAAAAATTGTAATAGTGCTACTAATAATATTCGAAACTAATTCATATTTGTTAATTAACGAGTAATTTAAAAGTATATGCGTGACTTATTCACAAAATCGCCGTGGAGGTTGTATACGGTTGCGCCATGATTTACCTTCTCGATGCCCTTGGGTGTGTTTCACTTAATATTGTGGAATTCTAATAGGTATAACAGAAAATATTATTTTATATGTGTGGCAAGTCTAAAGAACGAGTCGTAACTAATATTTGGAAATAACAGACTTCAAAAATAACGGTGTTAACTATCATAGTAACAATTTTTCACTAGAATTTGAGGTACACTAACCTAATCCAATAAAAAATGCCTCAATTATATTTTGCAATAATGATTTCGCTTTAACAATACGTATAATAAATTAGATATACAAATTCGTTCAATATAATTATTTGTAACAAGATGGCATGGAATCTTTTGACACAGTGTCCCCAACCAGATGACGAGCAAATATTAAATACTACAAATGTAAACTCAATAATAGTCTTACGATGTTTACACTGTCTGTGTCGTAATGAATGCCTCCTTTATAATACACCTTGGCTGTATTACGTCACTTAGATAATTTTACATTGATATATCTTCAAGGATGTTCTGTATCAGCTCCGATTGTTTTTATCGTGTACACCAAGGTCATATTATATGAACCATAGATCATTAACATGTTTAAATTTTGAAGGTATTTCTGTCATAATTCAAGCGAATATTTCACAGGCAAACGACATCAACAACAATTATCGTCGAAGTCTTCTCGCTCGCCGTCTCCGGAGTCTGTTGGGCCAGCGTCTCCTTCCAGCGGGGAATCCTTTCGACCCATACTGAGAACTCCGCCCCCCTCCCGCGTTGGTCCTCCCCCCTCCCCCCCGGTGCCAACGCATCCTATCGCACCAGTGACCCCTGAACCCTCGGCTCCACTACCTCTAAGTCCATGCCCAGTATGCGGCCGTACATTCGTACCAGCATCTCTGGCCAAACATGTCAAAATATGCGAGAAGATGACGGTAAAGAAGAGAAAGACCTTCGACTCCTCAAGACAGAGACGTGAAGGTAAATTATTAGACTATTTTGATTGTTTGCGTAAACGAACATCTTAGCTCGCTTGCTAGTAGATGCAAATGGCTTGAAGTATAACTAGTTCCAAGTGTATACAAATTAGATATATGTTACTTGATTGTCATATGTTAACATAATTCGTTTTTCGGTAAAGGGCTGGATGTGAAGAATCATGTTATCGGTGAGTGATCAAAACGATCATGGCGTTATAAATTATTCGCCACAGCTACTTACTCTTCAATGTGAATGTTTTACTAACATCGTACATGCACCGTTTGACCTGATAATGTTCCAAGAACAAAATCTAGAATGAAGTGTATCGACCAGAATAATAATTCTTTGGTAACCTACAAGTAACTGGGATAGAATGGTTTATTGGCAAGTAACCTAATCTCGGACTTGTGAAAGTTGTTCCGATCTTAATACCCTTAAGGATGAATAGCCATATTTGAGGCAAATTCCGCGTGTGACTTGATTTGGTTCACAAACTTAAATGCGTGTTTGTAAAGTATATGTTTGTTGTGGAAATTATTGAAGTCTGTAATTGCCTTGACTCGTTAGTTAACTCAACGGAGCAAGTGACATTCCATAACCGTTCATTCATTATAGCAGTCTTAAGGTCTTTCCATTAAGCTGTGAAATACTATTTAAAATTAATATGATTTTTTTATCGATCGGTAAATTAAATACTCTTTATACATAACAAAATAATATTAAATTATTTATTAGAAATACATTGTATGTTTTGTTCTACATAATAAAATACTTGTAAAGACTTTATAGTAACCAATCAATAACTTTATGTAATTAATTATCGCGGTTATAACATTGGTGTCCAAGGTCGCATACTAATATGACACTCCTTCAATGAGTTTACCGAGCCTAAATATACCGTTTGCATTATAAGTAAACATTATTCTTCTAACATATTATTAAATATATTCGCATCGTATGTATGTGATTGTTACGCTAAGTTCGCGCCGCCCACGTTAGCCCATCAAACTTGCTAACGCAAATGGCTGCCGTGAATCGTGATTCATATCTATAATTAATAAAGGCTGTCTATTCAACCTGTTGTGTTGTATATTTTCGTTGAAATGCACGTGCCTTATGCATTAATATAATGTCTTGCAAAAACCACGAGTAGGCATTGGCCTTACACTCGCATGCTCACGAAATAAACCCGCTATTGCAGGCACGGACTTAGAACAATACTTGCCAAAGAATTTCGGTCTTCCAGAAAACAGCCCCTTCTTGGAGAAGAGTCCTCCGAATACTGCCAAAGCTGCACCGAAGCCTAAGACTGTTTCAGTGAGGAGTGCAATCATGAAGGTAAATAATTACAATTAAGATATTATTTCTTTTATTTATATAATATATACACATTATAACAAAAATTAGCATGTGTCATTGTCAATGTGTTTTCAAAAGTATTGTAAAAATTTTCAATAGTATTTTACTATGATCTTCTTACTAACAGATTCCTAAATAGATGCTTGTTACTGAATCGAAAAAAAATAACTTTACAATATTATACATATAACAAAATGCTAATAAAATTATTGTCAAACCTTTTCCATGATTTTATCATAAAATTTAATTCATCTTATGTTTAATAATATTTTAATCAAAATGATGATTTACCAGCACTTTTCATTTTAATTTTGCAAATATGTATGCATGTTATAAGTAGTATTTGACCCGCTTTGTTCTGCGTAAGACTTGGCGTGGCTTTTCTCATGCAAAATTATGGTCATGAAGTATCATTGTTAACGCTATTTGTAATGCTAAGTACCATTCAACACTAACTAAAGCATACACGGCTGATTGTAGGAATAAGTCAATCTTCACGGATTTGTTCTTAAAGGAAGTCAAAGTAACAATGCGATACCTTTTTATTTGTATAAGGTTATTGAACTTATTACATTGCTAACTAACTCATATTCATTTATCCATACAAATTAAAATTGTATTCAACATTTCATTTAACTTTACAAGAATACATAATAGTAAGTGAAAGTAAAATAATATATGTTAAAAACGTATTCATAGCCAACCGCGGATCTACAAAAATGTCCTCACTGTAACCGAGCGTTCGGTGTGCGTGCGTTCGAACGTCACGTTGAATGGTGTGCTGACAAGGCGAAGATCCTACCAGCTGCGCCCGCGCAGCCGCCGCCCCACATCGCCGACGCGAAACAAAGACTCAACGCACGCACACAGTACAAAGCACCGCCGGTGCGAACGAGACGGTACGTAATATTATTGACGCACCCAAAAGACACAAAAAAAAATAAAAAAATATTTTTGACTTAAGGATTACATTACAAACAAATTGCAAGGGACACTGTACTAGGTGCAAACCCGTATTACTGGGTGAAATAATAATTATAATGATTTAAGTATGACACGTGAAAAAATTAAGATTGGAAACACATTCAATAACTGATTGTCCATCTTATGTCAAGTATCTACCATTGCTTAAAGACATCTTAATATATTGTTCCAAGTGTGCTCTTGCTAGGGACTAGCATTATGGGAAAAAACTGATGGTTTTCATTAAATCAGAAAATCAGATAAGAGATTACGGCACTCTAACACATAATCATAATGTAATTGATACTTTACCAACTATTTTGACGGGGTGGTACTCCGATCGATTGAGCCCACATACTTTGGAACGAATTTTACAACTATCCATCATCATTATTGTAAAAAAAGTTCATAATATTAATGTATAATTGCAATGAAAACCACAATAGTTTAAAATTGTCTCATTTGTATTATATACAAAGTACTCGTAACAGGTCGACATGTATAAACACATTTTCCTTTTTTAGTATTTTAAGGATGTAAACTTGTCTTATCAGGCATAACGACTGCGCAGAGCAAGTTTAACAAGGGCAGATACTTAACAGTTATTTATCTATGACTACAACCGAGACGTTTTTAGAAATCGTAAACAAAAAGAGCAAAAATACATTACGACTTATGACTAACCGAGATAATACATATCTTAAAGGAGTATTAAACTTTTATATATTTGTTAGGTCATCACAATCGAGAGATAAATCCTCTAATAGCAGATCAGCATCCGTAGAAAGTTCTCGAGGTATTTCTCCTCCACGAGAGTATGGCGACTATAGACATCAGCGTTCAAGAGCATCAGGTATAACCTAATCACGTATATAATGAAATATTTACCTAATTAAATTATTTAAAATTTAAAGGGTCTTGTTTTTCTGATTGTTTGCTCTTATCTCAGATTTTTTTCAAGTTTAAGTGACAGGAATGATATAAAAATTTCACTTTCCAGAATCTGCTTCCAGCAATGACTGCCATGAAGATTCCTCTCCACATATTCCTATCATAAGGAACTCTAGAGCGTCGCAAAACAATTCATCAGGCGATGCTAATGTTAAAGCAAGACAAGCCAGACTCGCTAGAGACATTAGCAGCTCTAGGTATGTATTTAAAAATTACTTTATGGGAGTTAAAGTAGCTTCATTTGATTTATTTCAAATAAGGGGAAAGGAAGGTTCTTAATATGTGTATATAACTTTTAAATTAATTTTTTGTAATCCATATTTCATTTAATTCATCATAATCCTAAATTCCTGTCTCCTTGTTTGCATTTTTTGGGAAATAATATTTGAAATATCCTTCCTTTCCCCTTCCTTAGAAGTTCCCAAGAACCTCATATCACCTCCGCACAAGAATCCAACACCCTTCCTAAGTTAGTTAAAGACGAACCATGTAAACCAAAAAATAGACTAAATGTAAAAAAAAGGCAACAGCTTAAAAAGTTAGAAGAAATTGCTAACAAATACAATGAACGAAAGCAAACAACAAAAAATCTTGCAGTCAATAATCCCACAGTATTAGAATCAGTTAGCAAAAATATGAAGAAAGTAGAAAAACCCGAGATTCCGGTCAAAAGCCAAATCCCAGTGCCAAAGAAAATTAAAAAGAAACTCCAAACAAAACAGGATAAAGTTTTACCAATTACAGATAAAAATATGCAAGATGATGAAATAAAAACAGACATTTCTTTAAAAGATTTAGATACAAATAAAGATATTATTAAAGTTAACATAAAAGAAAGGAAGGTAAAAACAAAAACTACAAAGGAAGTTAAAAAAAGAACAAAAGAGAGTACAATAAGTTTAGATAGCTTAGAGGGATGTTCATCAGATATGGCTAACAAAGATAAAAATTGCCAATCGATAGGAATAAATACAGAGTTACTATGCCCATGTGTTCCTTGTGTTATACATGATGTACCAGATATAAAATTCGTAAATTCAAAGAAAACATCAAATAAAAAGAAAAACGATAAAAACAACCAAAGCACTTTAAGCATTCCTCAGCCTGCGGTCGAACTTCTGTACAAGAACCCAAATATGACTAGTTCGTGTGATATTGGAACCAAGCACTTCATAGAGGAACAATTAGATTCAAATGAAAATATACATATACAAGATTATGATCTATCAGTAACTGCTTTATCCAATTCTGTAAGTGAAGCAAAAGAACCAGTTTCAAAAGATAGTTTTGAAATGTATATAGAAATATCCAAAGACACTAATGATTGCGATCATGAGTCAAATCATGACAGTTTGCATGATGATATACCAAATTTGTCTGAAGAAAATATTGAACTAATTAACGAACACGATATAAGCGGTGAGAGTTTTGAGGATTCATTTGAAACTAAAGATAATTCTAATAATAAAGCAAACGAAAATGATGAAGATGTGTGCCGTCACGGTAGTGGTGAAACATATACAAAGTTTACTGAAGATCCGTCAGATTTTGATGAATTTCTAAACATAACTGATAAGTTGATCTCTAATTCAGAGATGGAAAAATGTGTCGAAAATATTCACACGCCCCAGACGAATTCTCTCGAGTCTATGGATAAAGATGTAGAAAATGACAATAAACCTTCGACCACACAGCACACTTTTTCAAATTCTTTAGAAGAATTGAAAAATGATTTAAAAGACCTCTTATATGAAGCCGAAAAAGATGTGAATGTTACAACAACTGTTGAAAATTATGAAAATAAAGAGGAAAATATTGAAACTCAAAAACGTGTTAATAATATGGAACATATAACAGTTTATGGCCTTCAGTTTGTAGATCAGGAAAAAATTGTTCCAAATCTAGATTTACATGAAAATCCATCAGAATTAAAATTGCCATCTATAAACGAAACTAATAAATGTTCCATAAAAACTCAGTCTATTAAGAAGAAAACTTCAAGTCTTTATAAAGGAAATAAAAAATGTAAAATGTTAGGTCAACAGAAAAGGTCGAATAATGAATATAGAACGTTTATTATAAACGAAAACCAAGATGAAGTTAGTGATGAAGCGCCACCACTAAAGTTGCCACGGATTGACGACAAAAGGTTTACATTAGTCTCTCCCATAACTTTATAACATTAATAATCATTATTATACCATAACCATAATTATTCATAATCATTCGTTACTTAATTAGTTCGAAGAGAGTAATTTAACCGTAGGTATTTTCTGCATTAATTAACAACTACACTAATACTCTGATTAACAAATCATTAACTTTTTTATATACGATATAGCAACATACAACGGAAGTTACACTATAATTATGACCAGTGTTCATCAAATTTTAGGAACTGTATTTTTATATATTATTTCAGAATCGATGATAATTATGATCCCTTCGCATCAGCGGCTAGACAGATGAAGGAACTCATGTCATCTGACACAGACATTCCTAAAAAATCCCTTAATTCCTCTAAAAATTCCACCAACGGCACCTTACCTAGTTTACGTCCCACTAAAGATAAAACTCCCCTACATAAAAAAACAGATAATAGTAAGATGATAAAAGACACTATCAATAAAACATATCAAAAAACACCAACTCTCTATAGAATGAAGTCGTTTGGTAGCACTAGTAACGATAACAGTACGGTTAATAATAGCTTCGGCGGTAGATGTAGCTCGTTTAGACTCAACAGAAATGAAAAGAAACCTACCATACAAACGAAACCAAACACAACAAAACTAAACACAACATTTACGAAGTCTAGTAAGGAAAATGTTAGTTCCAACGATAAAACATATTTTAACCGTAACAGCAGTTTAAACAGATCATTCTCTAGTTATTCTAATTCTAGTTATAGTACACCAAAATTAAAGGATAAAATTCCAAAAATATCTCAGTCGATGCACCACGGCTTCCAACGCAGCACTATTAAACAACCAATAAAATTAGATAAAATAAACAAGGATGAGGAAAAGAAAAGTTTCGTTAACTTGGATTCCATTCTTGCTTTCGACAATACATCTATGAATGACAGCAACTATATAGATCCCAGACTCATAAACGAAAATGATAATCTTCCTATCGATGTCAATACAATACTTAACAATCCCGACATAATAAGTAGTATGGAATCCTTACTTACAACGGAAAACTTACCAGCTAAATTTGAATCTTTCAATTCAAACAAAAATAAAAACTATGAAAATAACATAACACAGTCACTGACCCTCAAATTAGAAAACAATAATAATATAAATAAAAACGCCATAACTGATTTTAGTTCTCAATATGATAAGTTAATGTCTTCTTTAGAACAAAGTATAGCGTCAAAGACTTCCGTTAGAGATGATGAATCTTTATGTGAAGACTTTGACCTCGAAGAATTTATGTCGAACTTTGACGACGCAATGCAGAAACAAACAATAGATAAAAGGACTTACAGTTCAACTACGAGAGTAGTAACATCTGAACTCTCAAAGGAAGTTAGGTCCACAGACACTAAAGTTGTAAATTCACCAAAAGTAGTCAATAGCGGTAGTAATGGTTTAATACCTGTTAACAAATCAACGTCTCTTGTTTTTAGCAATAACAATATAATGAGCGATAAAATATTCCCATCCTCTATTAAACGTTCCACTTCCCTCCTCGATTCCATACAAAAGAAGTCTGGACCAAAGATAGATAATACAAAGAGCCGTCACAAAACTGATCAACTCGAAGAAGATCTGATGCAATCTCTTAAAGATTTTGATAAATTCTATGAATCTGAGAGGAATGAAAATCAATCAACCATGAAAGAGACTGCTCACGCAAAGAAGAATACACATGATTCATCAAAAAAGGATTTCAAACGACAGACGGACCATAAAAGCAAGAAATCTGACAGTACGAATGGGAATTACACACCGAATGGAAAAAGCAGCAACGATTCGGCGTATAGCAGGTTAGTCAGGTAACTAATTACAGCAGCAAAATTAATCCAAAGGACATTGGCTTCAGACTTACATAATTGTGTTTGTAATATATGGAATATTTCATAATATTTATTTCTAATAGTCTAAACAGGATTTCGCCTTCGAAACTGTCGTTATGTAATACAAAAGAGAGCAATGGAATTTCGTCGCTGGAGAAAATCCCAGCAGGTTCGGATTCAAGTTGCAGTCACAAGGATGACGTTAGATCGATATCTAGTGAGGAGTTCCTGGCTATGGAACGTTCCACTGAGCTGGATGAAACATTACTGCGACCAGAACAAAAAGAAGTCGCGATCACAAATAATGGTAATAAAGAAACCTAAAATTTATATTTAAATCAAGGAAGATTTAAATATAAATTTTAGATGTGTAAAATAATTCAATTCTAATAATATTTCTTATCATTTACTGAACATCTTAAAAGTTTTGTAATTATTTAATTGTAAACATTTTCACCTAATATGGGCATAACTTTAGATATAAATTGTCTCAAAAATAACTTAATCAAGACTTGGTCAATTAAGACCTTGGATGGTTTTTTACATGCCCAAAAAGTTTTAGGATTATGTTACCATATACTTTAATTAATGTGTTTGGTAGAAGTTAATGATGTGTAATAGAATCAATATCTTTTAGATAAACGTTCGTGCTCGCGACAGTCTCGTCACAGTCCAGGGTGGCGGAGACCTGAACCCCTAAGCTCCAGTGGTTCGGAGAGTTCTCTCCACAAACCCGCCCCGAGACTCTCTCGTTTCTGCCATGAATGTGGAAGCCGATTCCTCGACACGGCCAAGTTCTGTATAGAGTGTGGCGTCAAACGACTGCTTATCTAGTGTGGTTATATCTAGTCTAACCTGTGGCACCGATGGATTCGGTTCGAATTTTTAATATTTTGCATCCAGTGATGCTATCGACCATTTTATATGATGTAATATTTGAAGGTGTCTGTATCAGTTGATCTTATTTTAAATGAATGCACTTAAATATTACATTGCATATTTATTTTAATGATTTAAAAGTATTATTATTTTATTTTATTTTTTTGGCTATGTTATTTGTTTCTCTGATAAATTATAATAGCCAAGTTAATACCAAAATGATGTCACAAGAAATAGTGAATGTGAGTTTTGAAATTGTGTATTAAACAAAACTTTCTCAAACTGTAGGCTCTGCCTTAGAAATATGAAGAAAGATGTTTTTACTTTGGTAAATATTTATTTAACATAGTTCTACAAATCCTGAGATCTGCTGTTTATGAAGTGCCTTCCCTGTAGTTAGTTATTATAATAACATTAGTAACTTAAAATTTTAAACTCACTGGGGCCAGCGCTCTGAAATTAACATATCTGTGATATGGGTAATGCAAAATCAAACTCTGATATATTTTAGTTCTATGTGCATTATTAATTTGAAAAAAAGCATTAAGTGCCAATTTTACTTGGAATTTTAAAAGGATTTTTGTGAGTCTATGTATATTTTTATTTATGTTTTGCACTTGTTAGTAAAGTTATTTTGTTTTTTAATGTTTTAATTCCAACTTCCAAGATTTCCTAATAACATCTCTTCTACATATGTAGCCATTTTTAACAAGACTGACTTAATTTCGAATATTTGGAAGTTTAATGTATTGTTTATAAATGATTACAATATCATGTAATAAATTAACATTTTAATTATATTTGTTTCATTTTCATACATTGTTACCTACACTTATAATAGTTAAAGTGTTTTTTATTTACCCTGATTTACTTTTTTTAAATATAAAATTAAACACTTTAATTCTCTGTAAAGAAGTCAAGCCAGGTATTGAAAATTTGCAACAAATGTAACTAATTAAAATATTTATGACTTTAGCAAAATAATAGGAATAAATTTAACAATTAATTGGCTTTTTTAAACAAGCATGTTAGTCACAGATTTTATTATGGTTAGTACCAATCATAAAAAAGTTAAAAACAAATTAGTATTTACATTTATGTGTATCTTGGTATCTATAAGGCATATTACAATCTGAAGGATCCTCTATAAGCTTTTCTTGCTGATATAGCACCTCTCACTCTTAGCCTACGCAATGCTTCCCGGAGATGCTTTGGCTGCAATGGACCTGGCTCTCCAGACTTTTCCAATACCTCTAGTGCTGTAAGCAAATAATTTACTAGTTTAATTTTAAAGTATGAAATTTACAAAAAAAAATTAACTATATATTCCATATTTAATTATATAATTCACTTCAGTTCTAAAAGTGTATAAGACGAAAATGGAAGTTTTGATTTTTAAATTGATATTTATTAGTTTTTATTACTTATAAACTGTCAGAACTCTACAAATGACTTACATTCTTATTATTATTATCACATTGGAGACATAGCTATTAAAAAGCAAGTATATCCTACCTTCCTCAACGACTTCACCAACAAACACCTTAGCAATACCAGACATAGCTATCACAACATTCTGTCCCACTGAGCACCCAGTGATAGTCTGCATCAAACGTTTCACAGCAGCCTTAGGAAATGCTGCTCGTCTATACATTTCATACCTTCCTAGTTGTTCTTCAGTAAAGTTTGACACTAATACTCTGAAAATTAGTATATTAAACAGACATTAAGAGCATGATAATGACATAAATTCACTCTTCTGGGAACTACTAGCAGTAAAAATTTACAATATAAATACTGGATATGTCTAGATTTTAAAATATAACAATGAAAAGCTTTTTAACAGATCTCAAAAAGTGTACTTAAATTAGCACAGAAAATGTTTAAGAATTTATTGGGAAAAGAATTGTTATGATGTGTTTGGAAAAAATTATTAAAAAAGAGAATAAAACTAATTGCACTCTTATTAATCAATTATGCTTTTCAACCATGGCAATGTAATAATTAAAATCTAACTATTAAATATAATTATTCAAATTAATTGAAACAAATATTTTCGAAATACTATGCATATTAATTATTTTTAAAAACTGAATACTCCTGCCATTTTGGTTACTTTGCAGCAAACATGATCACAGGCTGATGAGACATCGTTAAACTAGTTTTTAAAAATCATACAATACTTTGACTACTACTACTACTACTAGTAAGCTAAAAGTATTAGTTTCATTTAAATGAATACTCGTGAAATCTTAGATCATATAATTCAATTTATATTTCACTCACTGCATTTTTTCTCTTTCCTCTTCTTCTAATTCCTTCTTTGTTTTCTTTTCCCTTTCTCTTTCGCTCAGTTCTTCAGCAGTTTGATAATCCCCGTTTGAATTTTCACTTTGCTGGAATTCTCCCACGTTTGGTACCACACTAGCATCCTTACTTGTAGAATATTCTGTCATAATCTGTGAATGACTCTCCTCAATTGTTTGCGAGTTGTCAAAGGAATAATCATTAATATATGATCCATACTGATCATTTGGATCACTCAGATCTGTTTGTGTTATAAACATGTCAGTGGTTTCAGTGTATATATTACCAAGACCCTCAGAATCTAAACCTTTATCTAAGTTATCATTGAAATGCTCTGTTGTGATACTCTGTTCGTTCTGTATACTCTCACCATAGTTGACCAAAGTAGTGTCTGAAATAAATAAATTATAAATATCATGCATACGACATGATTTATAGGCTTTACACTACTAGACTACTTACATTCTGGTTCATCTTTCAACAGTTTCTCTTCTATTTCTAAGGATATTTCCTGAGAGTCGTCTTCGTTAAAATCACTGTGGTCCAGTTCTTGAGCCAATTCCTCTTCTACATAGGACAAATATTACATTTTTAAACCCATATCAATTTTAATTACCTAATAAAGTACTACATGCTTACCTTTTAATCTTTCTGCTTCGGATAAACCGTCGCTGCTTGGATTATCAGCCATTTCTTTTGACTACATTCGTTATATAGTTATAAATTATAAATATGATAGTTATTACTTTTTCGGAACTGATATTAGAAAAGATTTAAACTTCATAAAATGCGACGCAAACTCAAAGCGTGAATGTTTTTATTTTTAGTAACCATTTGACAGCGACAGTGTGAGTAGTGACATAAGTCATAAAGTATATTGCACAAAATATGTTGTTTAGTGAACAGAGAACATAAAATTGGCATTTTTTAATGGTTAAATTATCTTGTTTAGTTACAACTTTTATCGTAAATAGTCCATAACATATGAGTTTTGATGACTTTATCAACAATATAGTATATTGAGTGACCAAATAGAGACATTTAAAACATGCGCTAATTAGTATTGATCTGATTATTCTTTATTTATTCTTTTCATTTAATTATGTGATTAGTTATATGAAAGACATTTTGCAATAAATGACCTAATCCTAATTACTTTAAAACCATTATAGTTCAAAAACCTAAAAAAAAACTTAATTTAAAAGAGTGGAGATAAGATCCTAAGAAATAAACTACTAATTACTAAGTTATTTATTACGAAGTATCAAGTAACATATACAATATGAATAACCAATCAGAGATGGAAAACAATATAAGCCCTATTAATTGGAATTAATATAATTTGTAAAGAAAAGGGAGAAATCCGTCAGTATTTTAAACACAAGACTTCATTTTTACATACAGTAAAATACAAAATTATATTAATGCCATACGATAGTGTTTAATATTTTAATTTCTTTAAAACTTAAGTAACTTCACAATTTTGTATTAATTACTTAAAATTTACTTGCTTACTTTAAAATTTAAATGATTTGTTTTTCTTTAATATATTACTTTTTCGTACACGACTATATTGATTCTGATTTCTAAACCAATTTGACAGGTCGGAGCTAACTTCAAAGATTCAGTACCTTTTCTAGAGGGGAGAGTGAATGTGGGTCGAGAAAAGTTTTTAAAATAAAACATATTCCTATTGTACTTTGGTGCGGACAGCGAGTTCCATCATGAGTGCATTAATTAAGGCAGCTGTTTCCCGCAGCCCATCATGTTTGGTATAGATAACATTTAATTATTGCGTATAATTCATTTTTTGTTATGTAATCTTAATCTCTTGTTTTTGAGAATTATGCCTCCACCGGTTTCAAAGTAATGAATCTGGTTTTTTATTTTCAATTCTTAATGCATTTTGTGTACACGTGAACCAAAATGCATACGAATATGCCCAATAGATACATACCTGTCTGACTTCATTTTGTCTCGTAAACGATTGTTCGAGAAGAATGTTAATTGATTCTTAAATGTATGAAATTAAGTAAAACAAAGGAATTACTATTTCAGGCGACATATTTAAACAGGAACCTGCACTTAACAGTGGGAGCGTCAGCATCGAAAGACGCTTCTGTGAATTCGAACGCAAGTAAATCGTACACGGTTATCGATCACAAGCACGATGCCTTAGTCATTGGAGCTGGAGGAGCTGGTTTACGAGCTGCTTTTGGCTTGGTACAGGAGGGATTCAAAACTGCTGTTGTGACAAAGCTGTTTCCTACCAGATCTCACACTGTTGCTGCACAGGGAGGCATCAATGCTGCATTAGGTTTGTGTGCATTTCTTCATTACATTAGACTTTCAATTCATGATTATATATATCTCATGAGTGTACAACAGGTTTAGACTAACAAAATATAATGTTATAGGTAATATGGAAGACGATAGTTGGCTGTGGCACATGTATGACACTGTCAAAGGATCTGACTGGCTCGGAGACCAGGTAAGAAACAATATAATTTAGCAAAATATTTTCTATCATATTTTTATAAGAATTTTAATTGGTAAAATATGTATTATTTTATGATATTAAAGTCATAAATACTGAAATCTATGTAATTTTTTTGTTAAAACTGTTTATTATATTACAAATATAGATAAATAGCAAAATATTTATAATTCTATATTTAAAAATATTTTTTTAAAGCTGTAATAGTACAAAAAAATCATAAAGAACAGAAAATATATGATTAACAAACAATTATTTTATATATTTTGTAATCTTTTTCTTAATAATGTCTTACCAAAACATGTTTCTTGGTCAAAATCAAATATATTTTTTATCCACATCAAAATCGAAATGCAATTGTCGTATTAAAATATTATTATTATTATAAACAGGATGCCATCCACTACATGACAAAGGAGGCGCCTCATGCTGTTATCGAGTTAGACAACTATGGCATGCCTTTTTCCCGCACACCGGAAGGTAAAATATACCAGAGGGCCTTCGGTGGTCAGTCACTCAAGTTTGGTAAAGGAGGTCAAGCTCACAGGTGCTGTGCTGTGGCCGACAGGTAAAATAACAATATATTTATAATTATTAAGTTAAAATACATATAATTGTTCTTAAAATCAATATAACAAGGTTTTTTTGCTTATACATATATATTAAATATTAGAAAATGGTTACTTAGTGTTTAAATTGATTGTTATAAACTGTAATATGTTAAGAAAAAACATTGTGTAATATGTAATTAAAGTAACATGTTATATACTTCACTATATCATATAGCTTAATGACTTAATGATTCCTTATTATTAATTTTATTATAAAAAATGTCATTGGTATAAAATGATAATATTAATAAATAAGAAAAAAAAATTCTACCTCAATATAAATATGTTGTAAATGGTTTGTTTTAAGATGTGGATTAAATATTAAAAATAACTAGATATATTTATGTACTTTCCTCGGTTTCTGTTGTACATTTCCATTGATCAGCTTTGAACACCCAATAAATTAGACATACATATATGTATAAGTAATGAACATTCATATAGTACAAAGTATAGTAGTAGTAGTATCTTCTTAGTAATAGTAGTATCTTCTTCCTGGCCATTTCCCAGCTTTAGCCAGGGTCTGCCTACATATTTGAACCTAACTTAACACAAATCTTAAACGTATATTTATTTCCAGAACGGGTCATTCACTTCTCCATACACTCTACGGCCAGTCCCTTCGATATGACTGTGAATACTTCATTGAATATTTTGCTCTGGATCTTCTGATGGAAGATGGAGTCTGCAAAGGATGCATTGCTATTAACCTTGAAGATGGAACTTTACATAGGTATTAAAAATACAATTTACACAATTATGGATTTTATAAATTTTACTTTTACATTACATACATACATAATCAGTGAATTGTAAGAAATTGTAATTTCATATGCTATAAAGCTTCGAGTTTCTAAAAATCTTTTTTTAATTAAACAATGTTAATGTGACAATAACTTATAGTGAAAATGACAATAGCTTATACAAAAAAAAATATCATAGGATGACATAAACATACTTTTTACTATAAAATTTAACAACATAAAGCAAAACTCCAGTTGCTTAAATAATTGTTTAAAATGATTACAGTATTTAAAGGAGTTGTTGGAAAGAATAATTACTTAAAATATGTTGGTACAAGGCAAGCACTTTATCAACATTGGATGCTTTAACACAATTGTAATGTATTATATCATACACAATGGTCCTTATTTTATTATCTATCTCTCAATAAATACACAATCATTTGTGTTGAATGTTCGATTATCTTAATTAAATTCTTATAATAAGGTATTTAATACCAATATTTAAGCAATATTTAGGTAAATTGTACAAATTTAACATAGTTATTTTATTTATAAATCAACTGACATCCAATATTGAGGAAAATGTAAAATTCATTCCTGCTTGTGTTTTTGAAATTTACAGTATAATCAGAGTTAAAATTAAGTTATTTCTACTATATTAATGTTATGTATAGTTAGACTTGCTCAGTATTGTTAAATAATAATATGTCATATAAAATGTAAGTAGACTATTTTGCTATTTTAGGTTCTGTCACATTTTGCTACTTACGTTACATATATTAGGAATGTAATATACTTTATTGAATACTACAATTATATATTATAATAGTGATTATATAAGAAACTAATTATCTCTATATGTAGGTTCCAAGCTAAGAACACTATCTTGGCCACCGGTGGCACTGGGCGTTCGTACTTCAGCTGTACATCGGCTCACACGTGTACTGGAGACGGAACAGCCATGGCGGCTCGAGCTGGTCTCCAGAACGAGGATATGGAGTTTGTGCAGTTCCATCCCACTGGTATGATGATATTTACTACCTGGCAATTTCCCGGCTATAGCCAGGGTCTGCCTTACATGTTGTGAATAGTTTTGGCTACTTGTTTTTTACGACCGGCCGCCTGCCTGACATCAACACTCTTTTTTGGGAATCAGCATTAATCAGTGATGTCTAAATATTCTTAGAAAGTATGTACATATGATTCAAATCACATTGGTACTTGCCCGGGCCAGGATCGAACCCGCGCCCTCGGCAACGAGAGGCGGGCCCTCTAACCTTTAGGCCACCACTTACTTAAAATGATGGTATGACTGGTATGATGATATGTGTACATCTAACATATACATTATACACACACAAATTTGGTATATTATGTTACATTTTGTTTGGGTGACTTTACAATTTTACAGACACCATACACAGCCGTGAAGAGAACCTAAAATAATATGCGCTTAAAATATTCTTATACATATATAAATTATTTTTTTTGCAAACGAAATTATTTTCCAATAAATGATGTTAAGGGACCTTTACAAAAGTTATACCATTAAAAATACATGTTTTGGATTATCCATGGATCCTACATTGTAGAATTATTAGAAATGCACAAATAACAGGTGATAAATGGTGTTTGTGGTTATAATATGTATTAACATGATCTGTCTTCCTCCAGGTATCTACGGAGCTGGTTGTCTAATGACTGAAGGTTGTCGTGGTGAAGGAGGTTTCCTTGTGAACGCTAAGGGCGAGAGGTTCATGGAAAGATATGCACCAGTCGCTAAAGACCTCGCCAGCAGAGACGTGGTCTCCAGAGCTATGACTGTTGAGATCATGGAAGGTATATTTAGAATTTATTAATTAATTATCACTATATAAGAAACGTACGAAACAATATCCTCGTAATTATAGTCTTATACAGGGTGACTGGTGAATTACTATCAATATTTAAGGAGAATACTCGGTACATGATTCTTATTCGAATTATGTAAAAAAAATAGGTACTTCATTTTTGACCAAATTTCCGTATAAATAAATAAAGTGTGGCCACGTTCCAAGTGTTCCAAGTGTGGACGCGTGCGGCGGCGTGGTGTTGTATCAGCACGCCGCCGCACGCGTGTGTGTGTGTATGTGTATACCTAATCTGTAGGGTGTTCACACGATGCGTAATTAATTACATAACTTTTGGTTAACTTTACTTAGAAGTTTATTAATATTTATGTTATATTAATTTTTATTTTGTCATGTATGATCGTCAAATATCACGTCCTCAAGTATCGATAGTAATTCACCAGTCACCCTGTATAACATTTAAACCATATATGACTTGAATATGAAAATAGTTAGTGGTTTAAAAATAAATATTTAATTCGAAAAAAATATCTTAACGTAATATAACCCATATATTGATATTGAAGTAGGCTTTTCCAATAACTTCTATATCTTTATTTAAACAGCTGTGTACTATAAGACTCGGGAGTTTATAATATGATTGACGATCATAGTCTCATTTAGTTTAATACTCTCAATATCGCTAAAACGTTATTATTTACTTGTTCATTCTTCTTCTACCTGGCAATTGCCCAGCTATAGCTAGCGTCTGCCTTATATGTTGTGAATAGTTTTGGCTGTTTGTTTTTACGACCGGCCGCCTACCTGACATCAACTACATCACTGCCTGACAGCAAATTTTCTTAGAAAGTACATATGACACGAAAAATCACATTGGTACTTGCCCGGGCCAGGATCGAACCCGCGCCCTCGTGCATGAGAGGCGGGCCTTTTAACCACTGGGTCACCACTGACTCAATTTATTTACTTGCTCATTATTATATATTATATCAATCTTCCCTCTCTCTCACTCTCAAGGTCGCGGCTGCGGGCCAGAGAAGGACCACGTGCACCTTCAGCTGCATCACCTGCCTCCGGAACAGCTGAAGCAGCGTCTCCCCGGCATCTCGGAGACAGCCATGATCTTCGCTGGAGTCGACGTCACCAAGGAACCGATACCTGTGTTGCCCACCGTACACTACAACATGGGCGGAACACCTACAAACTTCAGAGGAGAAGTGAGCATCATAAAAGATTTAAAACATACTATTATTTTCCTATATACTACGCGTATTTTTCATCCCGTCTGCCCGCGATCACGGTTGCTACAAACTAACCCAAACATAGGGAATAATTAGTTTTAAAATGATAAATTACGCGTAGTAATCCGAAAATATTAGTTTCATTTAAATTAATAATCGCGAATGTCTTAGATCTCGTAAAGAATTTATTTAAACCGGCAAACATATATTTAATATTGAATTAATTCTTTAATAACTACAACATAAAATAATACTCTTATAAAGCGAACAACATTATCCAATATCCAGTTTGTAACAGGACGATTTATATATAGAAATGTCATACATTGATATATTAACTAGCTTTCCGCCCGCAGCTTCGCCCGCGTGGAGTTCGGTTATATCGCGTTTCCAACGGAACCTTTCAAAAGTCTGGGATAAAAAATATCCTATGTTCTTTCTCAAGGTCTACTCTACTTTACCAAATTTCATTAAAATCAGTTCAGTGGTTTAGGCGTGAAAGCATAACATACAGACAGACAGAGTTACTTTCGCATTTATAATATTAGTAGGGATAATGAGCCGGCTCCTAGCACTTAAACTTTTTTCGTCTCTTCCCATTCACCATAGTGAGATCATAAAAGTCCATGGATGGGAATTTCGGTCGTATATATCCTTAATATGTTTCGTTTGCGTATATACAGGGTGACTGTCTGTGTGTGTGACTGAATTACTATCAATATTTAAGGAGCATACTCGGTACATGATTCTCATTCGAATTATGTAAAAAAAATAGGTACTTAGTTTTTGACCAAATTTCCGTAGAAATAAATAAAGTGTGTACACGTTCCAAGTGTTCCAAGTGTGGACGCGTGCGGCGGCGTGCTGATACAACAACACGCCGCCGCGCGCGTATGTGTGAGTGTGTGTGTATACCTAATCTGTAGGGTGTTCATACGATGCGTAATTAATTACATAACTTTTGGTTAACTGTACTTAGAAGTTTATTAATATTTATGTTATATTAATTTTTATTTTGTCATATATGATCGTCAAATATCACGTCCTCAAATATCGATAGTAATTCACCAGTCACCCTGTATATAATTGCAAAAAGATGTCCTGAGTCATTGTTGATAATTTCATTCCTGGAAAGGAATGTACGTATGTAAACATTAGGTTCAAGTAAATAAAAACAAATTCGTTTCGTTTTCCGCCAAGATAGTACGGTTTTAGTTTTGACATTAATTTTTTTTTAGGGACTAACATAATACTAACTGACCACAGGTCATAACTCACTACAATGGCGAAGACCGCGTGGTCCCTGGTCTACTAGCTGCTGGTGAGGCTTCCTGCGCCTCTGTTCACGGTGCTAACAGACTGGGGGCGAACTCTCTCCTCGATATCGTTGTGTTCGGTAGAGCCTGCGCCCTCACAGTCGCTGACACCAGCCGCCCCGGAGACAAGCAGGAACCGTTGAAAGACGTGAGTATGACGTGACCAGGTATGACGTCACGATTAATTACATATAAGAATGTCATGTGTTTGATTGAGTATGTAATGTACCAATAGGAAGTTATGTATAGCTTTTATTGTATTTTTAGAAGATTCATATGATGGATTGATTAACATTATGTAAAATGTTGAGTGACTTACTTTGGTACTTAGTTGATATTTAGACCGATTCTACCAATCATAAATGACTAAATGATGTGTGTAATATTATCTGCTAATTAAAAGGGAGTTTATATAAATGTAATCTACTACAAATATTATTCACCTCTAGGTACATATATTCTTAATATATTTTTTCATGATGTCACATGAATCTTGTTTACTACTCTGTGTAGATACAGTTCTATATATAGTGATTTGTTAAAACTTCTCAAAGTAGTGTCAAAGGTTCACGAAGTAAATAAATCGTATGAAATACACTGATAAAGAAGTCATTTTGACCTCACGTGGAATTTATTTGGGGACGCCATTTATATACAATTAATTAGGAAGACGATTGTTTTTATTAAAACAACAACCGACAAACAAATAAAAACAAATATGACAAATTTTTCTTTAATATAATAATAATAAATCATGGATTTAGTGATTTTATGCTTTTTTTTTTTTCAATGAATAACTGATTAAAAATACAAGAAGTCTAGAAATAATAATCTGTGAACATAAAATAATCTATTCCAATGTGTAAGAATAAATTGTATAGCATTTAATTAAAACAATATTACATATTGTCTATTAATATTAAATATTACATTTAACAGACCACTGGCCAGGAGAGTATCGCTAATTTAGACAAGGTGAGGTACGCGAACGGCAGCATCTCCACCGCGGAGCTGCGCCTGCGCATGCAGAAATGTATGCAGAAGAACGCAGCCGTGTTCAGGCAGAAGAGTACACTAGAAGAAGGTATTGATATTTGATAAGTAAACAAATTACTAATCTTCTATATATATAAAAATGGATTGCTGTTCCTTAGTCTCGCTAAAACTCGAGAACAGCTGAACGGATTTATCTTATTTTAGTCTTGAAATGTTCGCGGAGGTTCAGGGAAGGTATAAAAGCTGAAAAAAATTGATTCATTACTGGGAAACCCATAAAAACAGCCCTTTTCTATTTCCCATACAAACGTTGTTTTTTTTACATTAGATTTGACAACTAACTAATATGACAATAATTCTGTCGCACTTCAAAATACGGAGATTTATGGCTTACAGGTAAACTTCAAAAATATAAATAAAAAAACGTAATAGATATTTCTTGATTATAGGGCGATACGAAGTTCGCCAGGTCTTCTAGTATAAAATAAAAACTTAACAGAATCTTGATATTATATCTACTATTATTTTTATATTCCGCGTATTTAATAAATTAAACACTAAATAGTTATTAACTGTGAGAGAATTATCTTAAAAGTCGTTAATATAGAAAATATTTCAGCTCAAACTTTCTTCTGATCTGCTTCCATTGTAGATACGCGGAATTATCCAATTGTAGTTATCTAGATTTTCTCTATCCCTGACGATATGTGAAAGTATATACAAATAGTAATCAATTGATGGTAATTTCCAGGTCAACGTCAGATACACGAGGTTTACAAGCAGATGGCGGATGTCAAGGTGTCTGATCGTTCTCTGATTTGGAACAGTGACTTGGTTGAGACCTTAGAACTACAGAACCTGCTCATCAACGCCGTGCAGATCGTGGAGGGGGCTCTGGCAAGGGAGGAGTCTCGTGGGGCGCACGCTCGAGAGGATTTCAAAACAAGGAGGGATGAATATGATTACTCCAAGCCGCTAGAAGGACAGGTGTGTAACTGGTTACTGTATAAAGTTTAGGTATATGAGTCTGTATGTATTCAATTGCCTTATACCTTATTTTGTAAATTGATTATTATTAATTATTATTGTTGTGAACATGATATTTTGATTTATGTAACAAAGAGAATATTTACAAAATGTCTCTGTCCAAAGTTCAGTTGTATTCAATATTAAACCATTAAACCATTTATTTGCTACACACATACATTACATAGATTATACAGAATATATTTATATATATGAGCCAATAATTGATCATTCTATTTATTAATATGAAACTATATCATGCAAAGAGAATATTCACAAAATGTTACTAAAGTGTTCATTAAAAAAATATCTCATTATAAACACCATGTTATAAGTAATGACAGTATTTTTTTTTATATTTAAAATTTTCCAGTATTTTTTTTGGAAATGTTCAAGTCTAGTTATTTTGGTAACTTAAGAACGCCATGTTAAAAATATTTTTTGACGATCAGGTGGGTACAGATAATTAATTTTCAATGGGAATTAACTTTGCAATGATGACATTACCCCACTATTTTTTTCTTATGAATTGTGTTCTTATGACAGCATAAAATGACCATCTTTTTTCTTAAACTTATAATTTTACCATCAGTTGGGCCATTTATACTTTAAATGAATTATAATAATAAAAAATAATTAAATTTACCTTAGAATTATAAACAATTTTTTACTGTTTGTTTTATATCATAAAAAAAACGTTTCAATTGTTATTGAGGTGAATTTGATATAAAATTACAAATTTATACTGAGTGCTGGTAACATTTTAATAGAAAAACGTGACTTTGTCTTGAAATTCCTTTGACATGTGAAGGAATCAGTTTAAAAATAATTAATATTTTATTTTTCAATACACCCTTAATAATATAGGACATAGAAAAAAACAGCTAGTTAGAAACATTACTACATCTAAATATCAACTTTTATTTCATAATATATTTTTATAATTATTATATATAGCACTATTTACAACCAATATGGTTAAGCATTATTAAATATATTTATTAATTCGTGTTTAACATTCATCAATTATACTTTCCAGACCAAATTGCCGTTCGAGAAGCACTGGCGCAAGCACACATTGTCGGAGACCAACGCGGCCACCGGCGAGACCAAACTCAGCTACAGACCGGTCATAGACCACACTCTAGACCAGGCCGAGTGTCAGACCGTGCCGCCCGTCATACGCACATACTAGTCTAGACTAACACGAGCCTAGACTGACACGCCGATATATATACTACATAGCAAATAAAACACGGAATAAATACAACAATGACTGTAAAATTTAAATCTATATATGAATTAATTTTTATATAATTATATTACGGTAATACAGAATCGATACTCGGGAATTGTTGTCAGTTCTCACAATATTATATACATATATATTTATGTATAATATATCAATACTAATTCATAACCGGACTATACAGCATGTTCACTTATATTATATAAATTTCCTATATAGACTGAGCAGCTAGCAGTATTTCTGGAGCGCACATCTCAGACAGTTCATGTAATTTATTTCATTATTTATTGTTCGTTAGTTTTAAGAGTATCGATCATTACTATGATATATTTTATTGTATAACGTTATCTCCTTTTTTGATCTTAAGATGGACTTGCCATCATAAAATGAACTCCCTGTACATTGTGGGATAGATTATATCACAGAAAATAATATTCAAAAGCACGAGGTACTTAAACTAGATTTAAAAGGAGTACTCAAAAATTAAATTGTTTAAAAAAGGTGAAGTGACTTCTACCTCACAGAAATTATCGAAGCCACTGAAATCATTACAACCAACAATCAACTTTATAATATTCAGTGTGCAGTATTAAGCGAAATTATGTTCAATATATTGTACAATTTTTGTGTAGATGTTAAGTTATCAATAAATATATACCTCTGTAAATCTTTCTTTTAATTATCCTTACTAATTATTTTCTATCTACTCCGTATTTCCATTACATATTTTTACATCTCAACGCCAGAACCAACTTTGCTATTAAGCAAATTGAAATTTAGAGAAACACATTAGTTACTTTTAGCAGGCTTAGGTAATATTAATGTTGAACCACATAATACATCCTGTCTTTTTATACAAAACACAGATATAATTAAGGACATCATAATAAAAATATTTGAAGCATCTTGTTGGTGTATGTAATTTATCACTATTTAAATTTTACCGTATTGGAATCCTCTATCTTCTGACTTCTGTTCAATTTCATCATCAATATACAATCAAACCCGTACAGTATAAAGACTATAATACTTTTGCACACAGCCTTTTAAAAAAACTAATTCAAAATTACCTGTAATTTCACTAATATGTTGCTAGTCATATTGTACAGAGGACAGTTAAATATATGTATGATAGGGTGAAGCATGTCTTTTCCTTTTAAAGTGCACGACCTAGATAATGTAAATTATATTATATAATGTAATTTCCTAATGTACTCACTCTTGATAACGATTAATTTTGAAACAGAACAAACTCAGCCGATGACCTTCAGTTCATTTTAATTTTAACTCATATAAAATGATTAGAATAAATCTCTCATATAAATTCAGATGGAAAGAGTAGGAATAAAAAAAGAGTCTAGTTTCTAAAATGTCTCCATACCAAAGTATAAACAAATAAAATGAAATAAATGTAGTTGATTAATAATGAATAGTCCTATATTAACACGTTTTTTTCATAAAGATTATACTGAACAAATAGTTATGAGATATAAAAAGATTTATTTGCAATACTATCACTGTCACAGCGTTTTAATTAATAAAAAAAAATACTCGAAAAATTAAATACTTTCTGTCTTCATAATTTTATTTAAATAATTCTTTTTTATGACACAATAACACTTTATGTCTTTACTTGAACAAACAGGCGCTGTCGGAAATGATCACGAAATAACACACAAAAGTTTCGAAACTTGTTTTGCTATTCACATTTTTTTTTTATTTTGTAATTGTTTTTTTTTTCTAATCGTGTCATTAGTTCACACACTAACGCCAGGCGTAATTATTATTAAGTTTTATAAAATTAAAGTAATATACTAATAATTGTGTCACATTAAAAGCTTACCAGCATTTTAAAATTCAACAAAACCAAATATTAGCCGTCTTTCTGCTAATGTTAAGATATTTTTATCTGATAACGATCCTTGATCTATTAATCACAAACAATAAAATTATCAACATTTTGGAGCACTTATATTTAGAAGGAAGTGTTTTTAATACTTAAGAAAGACCAAAAGGCTGTTTTGGTAAAACAAAATTAAAAACCTAATAAGAAGATGAACAAAGTAATCTTTTTTTAATAAGGCCATTGCGCCACATAACCGTCATCTGACATATCTAGATCTTGACCCCATGTGTTGATAGTACAAATGCAAACCAAACAAAGTACATATAATTTTTGATAAGAATTAGGAAGCAATACAACCATTCCGGACAAGTCCTCTAGACACGGAAATAAAAATAACACAATCGTTAATGATAGAACAATTACCATAGGAATATTGTGAAGGTCCATATGTTTTATTTATTTATTATAGTGAAAGGGGCTAATATATACTAAGACTAAATCATCAAGTCAAGTATTTAAATTTTAAATGTTATACCAACATTTTATGTAAAGTTATTTTTGGCAGGATAATAACTCTCAACGTATTAACAATAATTAAGACCATTAAATCGTATGATGATTTGTTTTTAAAACCTTAAATATATAGAGAGTTAAATTCAAAAGATGATGAAAGCTATATATACCTACCTACTTTAAAGTTAACCTACATATATGATAGAACACTACAATCTACAATATTTTTGTATAAATTTGCTATCAGTGGAAAAATACATTTAAAATGTAACGGGTCATCAACATATTTTAAGTAGTTTTTTTTATTACATACTTGTTTTTATTTTGCTTTCACGCGTCTGTAAAATTTAAAATTACTATAAAATTTTTGTCTAAGATCGAAGAACCTTTAGATTTTTTTTAAATATAAATTTTAGTATTTCAACATTTTTAGAATATTAATTTATTTATTATTTTCAACTTTAGCCACAGCCATCATTAATCACTTTTATTTTTATTCTCCCTGAGATCGCGTTCCGTATTCACACAAAAAGCAATGTTTGTGTTTTGAGGATTTGCTTTGACTTTATGTCAAAATACACGAATGAAATACACAGTTGGGTTTTTGAAAAAAAGATATACTTCTTTTATTCAACTGAATTAATTTTGTTTTTTGTATATACCGTGTCGTCAATATGAAACCAATAAAATTGACTAAAAATAAATAAATTACCTATTGAAATAGGTATTTCTATTTTCTACCGAGCTCAAATAAAAATAGAAGTTTACTCGTCAATCAATATATTATTTTAAACCACTTACCTCCTTGTTACTTCTTCGTTTATGTTAATCTTTTGTCAAAATGTGTTTATTTTATTTTGGATACAATATAATATTTATAAAATATTTTTTTGTTAATATTAGATTGCCTTTTAAATTTTGCATATCAAAATCTATTATGCCTCCTCGTTTTGTTCCTTTGAAATCCCAACAGAAATCGATTATTTAATGGAATAATTAATGGTGTCGGAAGCAATAGAAACTAGAGGTTTTTATTTCGGCTACAAATAAAACATAAGTATATATGTAGATACGTGTTAAACGAAGTATTTTATCGGATTAATGTTTTTGTACTGCAATTCTTCAGAATTATCTTTCTAGCCTCATTATTTTAATCTTTTTTTTTCTCTCAATTAACTAAAAACTTATTTACAATAAATAATTTAATAAAGTTTCAAGAAAACAGAGGTAGTTAATATTTCTAGACAACTATTCAAGTAAATATAAAAAAATCATATAAAATGGTGAAAGCATATTTTCAAATGTATTTGAAAGTAACTTGGACACTTCAAAATGTTTACACGGATGTTTACTCTTGTTTACATTACTGTCGATCAAATAATTTAAGGAGCAAAACTGAATGATAAAAGTATTATCTTTGTGTATCTGTCTATAGATTTTTATACAATCAGATTCTTCATCGTCTTCTCATTACTATTAGTGCAAGTAATGGAGATGTCGCGTGTCAAATTTGAAAACATGTAGTTTCAAATATGGCAATGATGTTGGAAAAGCAATTTAATTGTATTAAATGACATAAATACCGATATAAAAGAAACAGGGCAGTGTTAGGAACAAATAATGATACCTACCTAATCCTTAATAAGTGTTATTTCTTAATTTGACTTGTATATAATTAAGTGTCTATAGTAACAAAGCTACCCAATCTGTTAATGTACAATTGTCACTATCTTAAATGACCTGTTACACTTCTAGACACAGATAAGCGGGGTCAGTATTTCGCAGCCATTTTGTTCAGTGGCATCTCTGGCTGCGACTGTCTCACTCGCCCGTGTGCCTCTGCTCCCGAAACCTCCACTTTTGTTTTCATACAACCTACATTTTTGAGATTTCATGGTGCTGTATTACGAACTCAACCTTTTCTCTCCGACTTGTCGTTACCCGAGCCTAACAGGCTTTGAAATTACGATAACTATTACTGTTACAGTAATATTTTCGAAGGTGTTTAAAGGTAAGTATATATAATTAATTTCTTTCTTTATTTAAGACAGTTCAGTGTATTTGGATTTTAGATTAAAATGTCTTTGCTGTATAAGTTATAAACGCTTCATAGGTGTCATTGACCCAAAGTAAACGGACTTGATAACTTAAGGGCACTTAAATTTATAAAAATAGATTCCGAAACTTGTGTTCAGTCATGTTAATTAATTAATTATAAAAGTTTTATTGTATTTTAAAATATTTTATTATAATTAAATCGATTTATTTCCAGTCTGTGCAAGAAAAATGGCATCCATACCTCCATCGGCGTTTTCTTCAGCACGCATCCGTGAAACACAACGAGAAATGCAGATTTCCAATATTAAGAAAGGGAATGAGCCGACAAAATATTTCCATCGAAAATGTAAATAAGAATAACATTTAATTTAATGTTTGATCGTTTAAATAAAATAACATCATCATTCTAGTGATGGAGCTATCGCCGCTGAAGTATAATAGTAAACTGATGAACAGCATTTGGGGATTCTACAATCGCTACTCGCCGCATAACGTGAAGAAAATCAATGATGCCATGTCTTTCAATGCGGAATTGCAGCAGTAGGTTTTACTAATTTTTGATTTTAGGCGCACATAACTGTTATTATATTTAAGTGAAACATAATTTTTCTAAAGAATTTTAAAATATTTTTATTATTAACAAACATTTTTAACCGAAATCTTAAAAAAGATTTTTGGCAATATGACGTAATTATTAATGTCCCTGAATAATTTCATCCAAGCGTCACAAGGACTACTGACGTCATCACTGACGTTTTGAATTTCGAACGTGTCCCTTGTTTACTAGTACAAATTCCGTCATTTTCATTATTGTTTACAGAATAGTTTATGACGTAGTTATTAATACGCACGCCATCTGTCCACAAATTATTCCAACCGGAAGCTAAACGTAATAAGCGTCATCTAGTGACAAACAGAGCATTTAGCCATTAAAAGAAATTAAATCTCCGTATATAAAACTAAATATCAGTAACAGGCGGCTTATAATTATTTATTATTTATGATTCTAATGGCTATCAACTCTAGTGGTTATTTTATAATCATTTAAATTAAAGCCTTGTCAAATGAGAAAAATATTATGCGACATATCTACACCACCAACACTGATAATAAACTGGAATTTTGGACACTACTTTTATTCTAGAAAATAAACACATTCTACTTTTATCTGCTACGCAAAAGAAGAAAGTAATTACTACTTATATTAATTCTTATTCCGTTGTATAATTCCAGGTCTGCTGGCAATTTCCCCAACAAGAGTGAACCAGTAATCACTCTGCCTACATCATCACTCGACAATGTGTGGGCATCGATTAATGTTTCACAATCTCATTAAAACTATTATGATCTTTATTATTTTACTAGTTAAGTTCTAATTTGAAAAAAATATATAACTTAGTTTTTATGATTTTTCTTGTTTGTATCTAATGCATGATAAATATATAATAAATTGATAGATTTCCTAAAGCAATCTTATATTTATAAAAGAAGGAGGTTAATTTAGCAGTTAGAACTTATTGCTGAAGCATTTTTTTATTATTTTGTAGTCATAAGCAGACGACTCGTTTTATAATTTACAGAAATATTTGAGTCATAACTATTTTAATACCAATGATATTTAGAACAATGTAAGTGTAAAAATAAAACCATTTAAATATCAACCTTCGCAGCATTTGTTCGTGAGAATTCTTTTGTCCTAAAAACAATCCCATCTCTGAGTAGTGTCTAAAGTTCTAACTACAGTATAAAAGCTGTAGTTATGAGGGTATTTACCCAGTGCCGGCTAAAGGGGGGGGGGGCGAGATGGGGCGACGGCGAAGGGCGCCAAATTTGAGGGGCGATTAGTGGAGGTAGCATACTTAGAAATGAAAAAAAAAATAGGAGCTACATAACTTTCTACGTCCACGTCGTTAGCTCTGGGTCACGCTAAAGGAAAGATGGAATATAGAATTCTTAATACACGTTCAGTGTTCACATTGATCAGAAAAAAATTAATACTCTATTTTGATTTCTTCAAGTGGGCACCAAAATAGTCTTGCCCAGGGCATCAGTCCCTCTAACGCTGGCACTGTATATACCATAACTAGTTTCTACTTTCATGCTCACCATGAGCCCATTCTCATTTACAGTGGCTGTCCTCAGTACTGAACTCCTATTTTTCCACAAATGGCCTTATAAGTTCAGATAACTCACTAATTGTACATATTTGAGGTACTCTTATAATTATATCAAATCAGGGCTGTAATTATTGAGGGTAAATAACAATAAAGATTTTAGATAATGATCACTGTCTATCATCATCATTACACAATAAAAAAAATATATTTTCTTTAAAACATTTTTCCAACCTATTAGAGCCTGTAAAAATTTTGTAAAAAACACACAGTAATATAACTTCCACTATTATCAATGTTTATCTTAACTGGTTCAATCCATTTCATTATTACAAAACAACATAAAAAAATGTATATAATATATTTTATTCTTTTTGGTTCCCTTTTACAGAATATTAAAAATTATATAAATCAAACATATGACTAGTTTTTGTAACATTCAATCCAGTTTGATCTATAAATCAGACTGTACTTTTGCTTGTGATTGAGAATCATACATAAGAAGCTAAAATTATAAACTCAATAAAAAACAATGATATATCACAATATAAATATGGCCATTTATTATCTAACACTATATCTACAAATTAACATTATTATAAAATTAAATTGCTAAGCTAATCTATTTTTATAGAAAAACTTGCACCACAGGAACAGCCGATGTCAGCATTAGGATTTTGTACAACTCTAAAAGCAGATCGTATGAGTTCAGTGTGATAGTCAATAGTAGATCCCTTTATATATTCTAAAGAAGTCTCGTCAACAACTACCTTCACTCCTTCCTTTTCAAAGATTCTGAAATAATAAATTTAAAAAATATTATACCCAAATGATAAGATTTGACCACACATTAGATTTGGAAATACATACATATAATTTAAATAGTGTTATTACTATATTTTCTTTTATTTCATATCTTAGGATTGAAATATGTAACAATTATATGTCTAAGAAATCAATGTTCAATAAGTAAAAATTCATATTGAATAAAAATAACACTTATCAACATTATAATGGTATAAATGAATATATTGACAAGCAAGACTTGTGATTTATAACCTTATTTGATACTACTAAAATTATACAGAAATTATAGTAGTATTGGGATTAGTTCGTTTTCTTCAAACAAATAACTTGCAAATATTGCTTTATATTAATTTAAAAAAAAATGGAAATATAAAACCTTTTTTTTATGTATGTAGTGCGTAATGATTGTTACATTTACAAGAGATGTGATTTTGATAATTGAATAGTAAGTCAAAGTAAATAGACCCTATTAAATAACAGTTAGGTATTGTATATACTAACTTATCGTCCTCCGTAATCTTATCATCTAAGTCGAATTTGTATTGAAATCCCGAACATCCACCGCTTTCTACGCAGAGCCTCAAGAATTGATTTCCTTCACATAGCTGCTTTAATTTCTGTACACAGGTTTCACTTAGAGCAATAGCGTTTTGAGAGGCATTGCTACTTTGTGATGACATGTATTTACAATAGTAAACGTATCCCGGCCGTATAGACCGCCAAGTCTTTAAAAACATTGTGAAAAACTAGAATTCACTTCTTATTACACCATGAAATTCTCAGACTTTTTGCTGTTATTATTTTATATTTGTGATAAAATGTCAAAGTCAAATAGAAAATATTACCTAAAAGCTGTCACTAGTGACAGTTTTAGGGTGGCAAACTCAAAAACTTTTTCTTAAAGTTATTTTTTAAATAAACTTATAATATAAATATCATATGTATATGTAAAATATATATATATATATATATATATATATATATATATATATATATATATATATTTAATATATTACAAAATTAAAAACGAAAGGAAATCAAAGGTGCACACTTCTGAACTTTTATTAATTCATTATAAACCTTAATTTATATAAATAAACAAAATTGAGTGTTGTGTGGTTCAGTATGTTTGTTTTACACTTGTTCCAAACGTTCATAATTAAACATTTCTTCAAAATGGTCTCAGTCTACGTATGAAACGTAATTTTTAAAATTAGTCATTAATAGTAGATAATACAAACAACAACTTTTATCTGCTTATTACAACACGACAAAAATGTTCAAAAATATTTAGAAAGACATCTGATATGACCCCAGCAGAACTCTGCTAAGCGCTTTTTTTATTTACTTTATTCCTACGTTCAAAATGGGCAGTTATGGGAGACGCAATAACTAAATTAAATAATTGATTGCCTTGCTTCCATCTGTTTTAGATTTTAATTGATATTATCAGTTAAGTGAGGGTAGCCTAGCAACAATAATTTGATTAATTCCATTAAAACCAATAATGCTACTTGAGGACGACAATTTAATGGACAAGTGAGCATTTTAAAACTAAATACAGTGCTCTCTTCCACAAGAAATATAAAAATCTTCTCATATAGAGAATTCGATTCACTTAACAACCAAACATGTTTAACGAACCTAGGTATTCCTGAGCCTTAACCTTGATCATTTTGGCGATGTGCTAGCTAAACCACAGCTAAACCAAAGCTAAGGCTGACCAAAACATTTACCTCACTTATAAGCCCTGCATCAAAAAAGAGAGTAGTTAAACTCTGTTACATCCTTGCGATACCTGATCCAAAGTAGACCCAATATTTCAATGTGATTCCTGCTCCTGTACTCAAAATAGTCCCTATAAGCACAGAGGTCATATACCTGGGTGCGTAAAGCGACTGATTTGGATCACAGCCCATTCCAGAATAAATGCATCAAGTGCTGATAATATATCGTTAGAGAAAATAGTATTTTTTTTTAAAGATAAAAGCCGCGGAAATGTTACCTAAGCGGTAAAATATTATCTGTAGCTAATAATGATGATTCCTATAATTACAGTATATGAACACATAAGGGTTTGTTTTTTTAACATATTCTACATATTTTACATATTTATCATATATTATTGATCATACGGTAAGAAGTTGCATCGTCACATATTACATAACCTGAAATAATATCGTAATTACTTAGGTAAATAATTTCCAAATTGCTCTTAAACTTTATGTACATTTGAAATTGATTTTCATAAAGAGTAAGATTGAGTGAATCAGAAATGTATGAAAACATTTTTCTATAGTATTTGATCAAGAATCCTATTTTAAAAGAAAAACTTTTACCTTGAATATACCCAAAAGTGTGTTTGCAATTCCATATTTGCAACTTTGCACGAAAAAACTATTGTTTGCAGTCTCACCTGACGTCCTATGGTTTAGTTGAGGTTTTACATTAATCATAAAATTTATTTCTCTGTACTGTCCCACAAAATATGAAAAAAATACAAAAAAAGATGAGTTGACAAATTATTTCCAATTGTCAAAATATAAAAAAAATTGTGGTGGCAATAGTCTTGGATCAGTGTGTGATGTTAGGGTTCTGGGTGTTGACTTAGAAATTGGAGATAAGATTTTTTATAAAAGAACCTTAAAAGTTACGTTTAAGTTAAGTTAAGAGTTGAGGTATGCTTGTAACTTTTGTACAGATATAAATGGGTAGTATTCATAGCGGTTCACTGAATTATAGAGGTTTGTATCCGAAGTTTGAGGTGGTAGTAGTTAAGGAACATCACTCGAGAAATTCATGATCAGTGAAAATTTCTCCTGTGGTTACCCCGTACCGGAAAGCGAAGCGTGGGTAGACCCCCCACCAAGAGGACCGATGAACCGCTCAAATAGGAATCGTATGGGATCATAACAATCCACTAGAATCTAGTGACTAAATCAGGCTTTCTAAACCTTTATTTGGTTGATAATATAATTAAAAAAATATATAGTTTTTTTTGACACGTTGGCCCTGCTTAAGAGTTCATACAAGTTTATTTAATTAACTACATTATTTTTTCAAATTTAAATAGTTGTATTACAATTTACAGAACACTATTATTCATTTTTATCGTGTTGTGACTTGTCGAAACTGGTATGGCTGCGATTGAATGGCAATTTGGAACGGTCATTTGACGTATTCTTTGAATAGAATTTATTTTTGAAAATGTAAACGTACCTATTATTATACTCCACCCTGACATTCTCTAACATCTCAATGGAGTCTAAGTAAAGCAATTCTCCAGTAGATCTACATAAACTTGTGAATAGAGTCCTTAATGTAAATGCTGATAAAAATTTTGATACAAGAAAATTATTACATGTCCTATCTTTACTCTTTCTTAGTATGTATCATGTTATTGAAATTAAGAATGCATCAATTGCCACAAAGTACATGTTGTTGTTGGACGTTGGTCCGTAAGTTAATATTTTTAGCATATATGTATTAGGAAGTACTTTTATCAATACGATATTGTTAATTTGTAATTGAATAATATTTTGCTTAAAATAGGGAAAATTTAATGACAAGCAACACTAACTGTTATTTCCATGAGTTAAAACGAGAGAGCGATAGCTATAAGAGAAAGAGATAGTCATATCGAGGGTAAGCTGGCCAGCGGACCACTATATTTTACTATTTTTAAAAATCATATCTTATGCAGTAGGTACTATTTCTTTGTAGCTTATTTATATTTAGTAATAAGTATTATTATTTGAGATCTTTTTCGCATAATATAATAATTAAAGGGAATTTCCCAATAAAAACTTAGCAACTGATTTAAACAAATTTTAATGTCTGTAGTTCCTATGTAAATGTTATTTTACAGTATTACAATCTATGTTTGAAAATATGTCCATAATTAAAATAATACTTTTTGTGGTACAAATAATAAGGCAGATATATTTCGTTAGAACGGTAAACCCTACTCCACTTTGCGCGGCAGCGGTCAGAAGGCGGAGCTTATCGGCAAACTCGCGTCGAAGCTGGCTCCACTGTCAATTCGAGAGCTGCGAAGTGTACGCTCGTGCCTACTGCGTAGTGTGTTTATAGTGAAGTGTGTATTGTGAAGAAATTTCGAATGTCGTGAGGTGAAAGATTGTGTATTTTTTTAATCTGCAGTGCAACTTGTGCTATCAATACGATGTGTTAAGTGTAATAATAAGTGTGTTGTTCAAAATGTGTACGGCACCGTGGTGTGCAAAATTGATTTTTGCCACGTAGTGACGCGAACGGGTAATGATTCCTAATGTGGAGTTCGAAGCAAGATGGTTAGAGAGACTCGGCACCTGTGGGTTGGAAATTTACCCGATAACATACGTGAAGACCGAATAAGAGAGCATTTTAAACGGTAGGTTGCTTAACACGTTTGAAAAACAACTATCGTATTTAACAACTTTTATTACTTCGATAAAAAATGCATTAGCATAATAACGTATACAATAAACTTACTGAGTCCAAATATTTAATATAATATAAATTTAAGTGACTAATGTCCTTACTTGCTCGTTTCGTACTATCAAATGCTACTAAAAGTATAGTTTATATTAGGACTGAATTTTGCTGTGGGGAGTTGTTTAAAACATGTTATTTTTTATCCTTGTTGTCATTAAAATTATATAAACATTTTTTTCAAGTCGTGTTTAATGACTTTCAAATGTAACTTCTTTACCTTTATTTCATTGAAAAACGTCATTACATTCTTTATCTGCCGACACTGTTATAATCAATTTATGCTGTATTTTCTACACTATATTTTGCTTATTTTGATCAACATTTATTGATCAACATTTGAGTGTCTGCTAAGAGGTAGCAGACACTCAAATGTTGATCAATAATGAAACAAAAATAAACGTCAAACAATGATGAAATATTGTTTTAAACTATGTTAACAAGTACCTGAAGTACACTTGTTTTAATTATATAATTCCTTTAAGCCTTTACCTTGAAAGCTTGTTGTGATTGCTTTATGTAAGTGAGACTGAAATTAATTGCTATTTATGTCTTGAATGAGTCTGCAAAGCATTCAAATCAATTTATATTTCACTTTAGACACTGAACTATGTGTTTGATTTGTATGTATGTATATATATGTGTACATATATTCTTCCAAAGTAGTCAAAGCGTGTTTGACTCCCAATTTTCTCTCAATCATTTTAATTCAATACACCTACACAAATTATTCAGGTTATATAATAGATCTATGGAAATGATTAGCAGTTAAAAGTTAATATTATTTTAAAATGTACATTAAAATATGGTCAGGGTCACAAGTTGCATTCTCTTGTTCTCTTTAATTCAAACAGTGTACTGTATTACATTGTGTACTGTAGTTTATGTACAGTAGTCTTATTAATACATATGTATTGATTTCTCAGTCTAGACTCACAATCACAATCCAGAAGCAATGAATACATTTTCATCACTTTACTACAATAGACAACTTAAAACAAGTTTTAAGTAATTACATTTTTATTGTCTTAAAGTTTATTAATATGGGTTGTTTCTATAAAGCTAGCTACGGATCTAATATTTTACACCAACACACACGAAAACCAGTTTTATCTGCTGTAGTTTAAATATTTTTATTTGTATCTTTGCTGCTTGTTTTGTTGTGGGTCTTTCTATTTGAGGATCAGTTTACCCTACCAAAAAGTAACTTTGACGAATACGTGCAGTGCGTCACTTTATAATCTTAAGATCAACCGATCATACCATCACACTACAAAATGGCGTCACAATCGTAATTATTTTGAGCGTAAATTTAAAGAATTCTTTGGAATTTGTACATCTAGATATATTTTTATTCGCGCAAAAAAACTTCGGGAGCGTCTTGGCATTTCGCCTCAACATCGTTTCGTGTTTATTTGAGAGTAAATCACTTATATAATACTAAAATGTCGCCCATAAAAATCCATTTCAAACTTAAATTTACAAGGGTAAGGTTCAGTTTTGAAGATATCTTCTATAATCTATAGTTTATCGAAGTACCCGATAGACTACCAATAAGGTCATCGAAATATTCTTTCAATAATGAAAATGAATAGCATCCATGTAACACTCGTAGTATGTAGTTATAAAGTCTGTTAATAATCCGTAGAAGTAATTGATGCAGAAAAAGTAGATGCCGCCTAATTTGAAAAATAATATTGCCACGATAATATTCAAAGAATGTCCGCTATGTCCTTTCTCCTCAATAACGCTTAAGTACGAGTTAGTATTGTCAAGCTAACAGTTTAAAGTTTTTTTTATTAATATTTGTATCCAAAGTTGACCATATTGTGTTTCTATTAGCATTTTTTTACTTTTACATTGCAATGTATCCTCTTATTTGGGAAACTAGAAATCTCCAATGTTACATAGCTTTACCACAAGACAATGGAAACATTCATGTTTAATACACATTTTTTATATTATTGAAATATTTTTGAATTCCAATATAAAGTATGTTGTAATTATCAAACTTTGAAAATATATCCTCAGAAATGAATGAGATGTCAATGAAAATGACTTGAATGGTAAAGAATATATGTCTTCAAAGTCAATAAATATTACGGGCTCACTAACGAACTCACGTGAACTAGGTTCGTCGTGGATTTTTACGCAGTAAAAGCGGGAGCGATAGGTATAACGGCTAAATCTCTACAACCTACTAGAAGACTTGGGCCTGTCCAGAACCATATATTAAAGAATATCAATACTTTCTTGGAACGTACTTCAAAGGTAGCCCTAGTAGGTTCTTTTTAAATTTGTTTAGGTAGAGGGGGGAGCTTCGACCGTGTAGGTGAGCGTTTAATGAGCGTTAGATAGGGGCTCCTTAAATCTACACCTGGGTCGCAAGTCCCGGGCACTATTGAAACTCCTCTCCCTGCAACGCTATGGACCCGGTACCCGCACGGTGAATCCATTGAATGCTAAGAGGTTTCGTCTCTTTAATCGTTTTTGAATTGATTTTTTTGGCACTATTTTACTTTAAATCTTAATGATTTGGTTAATTAATTAAGATATCCATTTGGGATCATTATTAAGATGTCCCCGTGGACACGACATGATGTGTTTACTGTGTGCCAGGGAGAAATTAAGAAGGTTAACAATAACCTACTGGTCTTTTAGGTGTATTAGAGTGACTTTACAATTTTTAACATATTATGCTCTTTAGGAAACTCCAGTAGGAAAAAAAAATAGAGTTATGCACGAGATTGGAAGTTAGGGGATCGGAAATAAAACAAATGTTAACGAGTTAGAGTGCGATAATAGGAATTTGAAAGTAGCTGCAGAAAATTTTCAAAACATTGTCTAATCTAGACGACAGAAGACCTCAAAGATCTTGTGCTTTAAAAGAGCCAAAGCGACGAACTTACTATTTCTTTTGGACCGTTACCATATCAAACTGCTCAGTATTTTTTGCGGAGTTAAGGGAAAGTAGCCAGTGTTTCGTTTGGCCAGTATAACAATTTCGAGAGGAATAGTCTAATTTTGGAGTATGTACTATACTAAATGATGTTATTTTTCTTCAAGTCATGTTCTTGAATAGGCAGCTACTTCATGTTTCGTTTAAAAAAAGTAACAATTTCCTTTAGTTCTTCAGCTCAGACATTACTGAGCAGCGTTTTAGTATGTCTACGACTATCCTTCTAGCCTTCCCAAAAAAAAAAAAAGTCTCAGATAAAAACCTGTGATGTATCCAAAATAACTCAGCGCATCTTCTTTACTTTTAAAGATTTCATTTCATTTTAGAGAATGAATTGTACTAAACAGAAAGTATATAGGTTCTTTCTATTTTACTGTACTGGCAGTGAGTTCCTTGTAAGCTCTATATGGGGTTTTGTCCAGAACAGAGGGATCTGATCCTTCACAATAAAAGCCAAAAGCGACGGGTTCAGATATCCAACTTGTATTCAACTTTGCTGGGTAGAAAAACGAACTGGAAGTGAAAATTATCACTTCAAATTGCAATGTCTAGAAAACTTAACCAAAACTAGCACCTACAGCAGTTTCCACCCACATGCAAGTATTATGCGAGAAAAATGTTGTGTATGGGACACTGAGTTCGACTTGACAAATATTTTTTCAAGATATCTTATAATGGTATATGTCCATTATAAGATATCTTGAACTTATATATACACTTTCCAGTTGGGTGGAGTACAGTCGTTATTTACATTTGTGTTATTTCTACTCTGAACTGACAGTGGGTACTGGGTACATTAAACCAAAGTGTATAAAACGACACTGCGGAAAATTGTTAAGCAAGGTAGTTAACAGAACATGAACTATGCATGTATAACGTCTTTATGTGAAAATTTCTCTGGGGATGACGTTCTTGACAACGGACATTCATTTAATTCCTGATTTTATTACATACTAGCTTTCCGCCCGCAGCTTTGCCCGCGTGGAGTTCGTTGTATCGCGGTTCCAAGAGAACCCTTCCAAAGTCTAGGATAAAACTATCTTATGTTCTTTCTCAGGGTCAACTCTATCTCTGTACCAAATTTCAGGCGTGAAAGCGTAACAGACAGACATACAGAGTTACTTTCGCATTTATAATATTAGTAGGGATAATGAGCCGACTCCTAGAACTTAAACTTTATTCGTCTCTTACCATTCACCATAGTGAGATCATAAAAGTCCATGGATCTGAATTTCGGTCGTATATATCCTTAATATGTTTCGTTTGCGTATATACCTACATAATTGTAGAAAGATGTCCTGGATCATTGTTGATAATTTCATTCCTGGAAAGGAATGCACGTATGTAAACACTAGGTTCAAGTAAAGACGTTTCGGTTTCCACCAAAACTTTAAGTAGAGCTTGATAGTACAGTTTTAGTTTTGACATTAATATTGTTTTTTTTTTGTTAGACATTTTTTTGAGTTAGAGTCATCAAGATAAAATTTATTTCATTTTTTAAATCCTAATGAAAACATTAAATTTTAATAAATAATACTGAATCATAAATACTCAAACTCCATCCTATATTCCGATGTATAAAATCTTAACAATCACGATTTGAACATTGTGAAACACGTTTGTAAACCTCCAAATATATTTCCGTACTTCCTACGTATGTCTTTAACGTCTTTTTCTACGTCATTATAAAAACTAAAACAACATTGTGTGTATGCTAACCCATCGGTTATAAATTCTACTAAAAATATTATTACTAACGTTGCTTCATTTCTATTTTGCAATGTTGTCTCGCTCTAAAAGTAACATGGGTGCTAGGGCGGGGGACCATTTAGGCCGTTAACCTTTTGAGTAAATATTAATGAATATAATACAGCGTTACGTAAAAAATATCGAGTTTATAAACAAAGAATTTAAATATATATTGTTATGTATGCATGCCAAAGACCATTTCTTTCTAAACAAAACTTGCTACCTTTATGTCTCGTACCTTGATATGGAATAAACTTTTTAGTCTTTGTGTAATGATATTAAAAAAATGTATGTGAACTTTTGAAACCGTTGCATGTGATGGTTCCCCTTTTATTCAACCGGCGAACCAACCGAACGATCGACACACCTTACGGCTCCGTCCGCTTTTGATAAATGTAGTGGCGCCGAGCTCGCTGACAAGAGTGGCAACGTCGCACGGCCCGTACCCATCGGACCGACTCGAACGACTGTGAAGATAGCGTTCGTGTCATACATACGTGTATCATAATATATTGAAATTAAATCCTACTGTTTTAATATTGCTCACAGGTTGTCTTCCTATTATATTTATTCGGTTATAAACATATTATGCTACTGTTTCTAGGACATGGTAGTTGCTCTATTTCATGTCAATTACAATTGATTTAATTTATTTTAACCGAATCCAAGATGGCGGCTCGGTGTCTGATGTTCCGAGTAGAATGTTATTTGTACGTAACTACATTGATTGAATAAGGAAGTACTCTTTGAATTGTAGATTATCACTGGTGAACCGTCATTTTAAGCAGTATAATCTGGTTATATATTTTAAAAACCTTACCTAATAATTGTTTTGTTATTTCCACTATTATGTACAGTAGCTATGAGTAAATATCGTTTGGTTGACTGTACATGAAACTTATAGAATATACCAGAAGCAGTAAAAGGTATGTTATTGACAACTTAAGAATTGATATTCATAAGAATGGATTTCAAACGAATAAAAATACAACGCTCGTCTAAACTTAAATATGGAAGGCATGCCATGTCGTTCGGAGACTATATTATATGTATATTAAAATTTATTTAATATTTTCACTGAATTCACATATACTATTTCATACAATATGTTGCCTTTTGGGGTTCAATTAATATTACAAGTTATATGAGTGTTATCAATAATAATTCATTTTTAAATTTTATACAGGCTTCACCTCGTTATATTCGCGTATGTTTAGATTAAGATAATAAAACACGTGTCAGTCACTGGTAATAATGGATCTTCCCAAGGTTGAAATATTGTAATACGTTACAGAAGATATTCTGATATTAAAATGTATTCATTGCTTTGGAAACTGTCTATTACAAAAGAAAATTTATTCAAATCTATTAAAGTATGCAAGTGCGGTATATCCACGTGTAATTATTAAGGTTAAGAGCGAATCTATATTTGAACATATGAATCAATATTTGCTCGGATATAAAATTGGTTAAAACTGAGACGGCTATTCAAAAATGAAATTCTATCATATTCAAATAAGGGTAAGGTTTGTGAAAACAAGCCATTATAGTTCCAAAATTGAAATGATGGAGGTCGATGTAGATGAATATGTGTATGGTTATTATGCAACTCTGGTTCTGTGAGAGTAAAGCAACCATCCCGTGCAGTACCGCCACTGCCAGCCCCACCCTCGGGCCGCGTCGTATCGACCTGCGCGAGCCGCCCGGGGCGCCGCTGGCTCTGCGTCCGACCGGATTGAACCCCTCGGCCCTCGCCCCTCGACCCGCTCGCCTGTTTTGTAATAGCTTTTATAATATTACGTAATATGTGTACAAAACTTGTTAATGTTATGTAGATGAACATGTACTAAGAACCGCTTAATATATTATAACCATCACATAGCGAACACCGTGATATATATTTTGGACATGTCTCTGTAGTATAATATTTCTGTCAGCTTATAAATCAATATTTTTTAAAACATCACATTCTCTATTTATTATCTGAATGTTTTTTTATAGTACATGCGAAGTTATCAGTTTTAAAAGGTAGCTAAATAAGAAACCGATAAGATAACGTAATAAATATGAGTCGTAATATAAGTCAGATAATTGTAACATTACTAGACATATCATAACACTTTTATTTACCCTATACGTAGTTAGTAATATTTGAAGTTTTAAGTATCAAAATTACTTTTCTTAGTATTATTTATAGTACCGTAATCCAAAGGTCTTGCTATATCGTATTTATAAACATATTTAATTACGCAACTATATATAAAAATCTGTTAAAAAACGACAGTTCACTCATGATCTAGTAGGAAATAATACAGAAATATCACAACATAAGACGAATAACCGAACTTGCCAGCATGCAGTCAACAAAGTAGTTATTCAGAAAGTAGAGTGACGTCATGGAGCCGGTATCTGCCCTTCCTCCCCACCCCGCCGGCCCCTCGCCCCTCGCGCCCACAGCCCCTCTCCCTCGCATCCTGGTGTTCGGGCTGCTCACGCTATCATCGACATGGTCTCACCACTACTACTGCCCGTTCCTTTATACACAGACGCAGTCGGTTTCACACGGAAACGGGCACAGCGGGCGCGGCCATGTTGTAAAAGTAAACTTGGCAACGCCGCACTAGACATCGACCGATTTAATCACTCTGCTGCCGCTTTTAAATTTCTCGTTATCTGTTCGTTATAGCTACATATTTACTGTACTTTAATTAATTATTGTTTGTTCAAATTTATATTAATTGTTATATTTTCTTATTGTTAATTAGTATGTTAGCTAATTCACTGCAATAAACGTTTTATTCATTCCATTTTCCAACATTCATGTGTTGTTCATACCTACAAATAGTCGGTTATGTCTTTATAGCTTGACAAATCCGTTATGCATTGTACCCTTGTCTAACTATATGATTTTCTAGGACATGTACAATGCATTGAAATAAACAACAGTTTTAAATCAAAATTCAAAATGAAAACTTACGTCAGAGGTATATGAAATAACGAATAATTTATCGTATTGTATAGGTATGTTTTCACTACACAATGGCCGTGTATTAAAATTATAACGCAAAAATACTACCAATAAATAATTTAGAGCGGAGTGACGAGCTCTAAAGATGTATTATTATAATGAAATGTAGTAAAGCAAATGTCACGGAGCGGCAACGCCGCTTGTTGTTCGATATCATGTAGGAGCGGCAACGTCTCATTATCTGTAGTTTCGCCGCGTCATGTCGACGAGCACTGCGCGTTGCGGCGCGGTGCGCATTTGTATTTTATTCTGAGTGATGTTCGCTAGCATACAGTCCCATGTATGTATTGATATTATATTGATTTTGTTGCAAGAGAATATTAAAAGTATTCGTTCTACATGGAACTACGATTGTTTTACTCATTGGAAAAATAAAGCAAGTTTAGTGATGGATTAACTGTTCTACGACGTATTATCTATTTATATCCATTAAGACTGCAAAAATATATCAGTTGAACGTGTAAATAATATTTAAATTTAGAAATTAATCTAAAATTATGCCAAGTTAGGAGCAATCAAATTAATACGTGTTGAAAAGTCGTCTAGAAATGCATAAATATAATAGACATTAAATAATACCCTAGTGATTATTACATCAATCAAGTCTGTTTGTATTTTTAAACTATTTCCCGGAATAGTGTGTTTTAAGTTTGTTTTTAAGCCTTCATTGTTAATCAGTGTTAGATTTTAATGACGTATAGAATATGTATGGACATGCTTCGTTTATAATATATTCACAGGAATTAAAAGTAAGTTTAGAAAATATGTAACATAATATTTAAACAGTACTTATAGCAAGATTTAGTAAGAAAAATTTTTGGCTCGTGGGTAAAAATATTATTGTTGTGTTTCATACACCGTAACAAAATATATCAATGTTGATAAATATAAAAAGTAGGTTTTTGTTGGTGTAAATGTTGTAAGCAAATAAAGTTAACATATTTTTAGTCAAATCTATGAGTTTTAAAATATGTAATGAAGTAACTGACAAAATATGTAGAATTTATATCTGATAACAAGTTTGAATAATGTCGTGACGACAAGAGGAATATTCATAAGCGACAACAGAATCATGTTTACTATTTAACAAAAATGTTGATCAATACGACGAAAAGCAACAAAACATAGATTACATGACGAAAAAGAAAGAAGCCAAAACATTCCATTTGACCGTTTCGGAATGTTAATTGTCTAATTAAGAGAAAAAGTATTCTCGTATTTTTTTAAAACATTACGTTGAAATCGGTTTACGTTAACGGTGAATTTGTTTCAGCTATGGCCGAGTCCAGAATGTCAAGTTATTGGGTCGAATGGAAAACGCAAGCGCGAACACAAACGCGGTTGCTAATAGCGGTGTGTGCGCCACTGTTGCCTTTATGGACATCAAGTCTGCTTCGAAGGCACATAACGTGGAGCACGTGCTGGACGAACGAACTCTCACCACCGAGTACTACGAGCCAGCCGCAATACCATCCTCCGCGGGCGCGCCTTCTGCCGGGTCTTCACCTGCCGGCTCCGGCTACTCAGGTTCTTCATCCTCCGTGAATTCAGCGCCCGTTCCCGTTACAGCCTCGCGTTATCATCTTTCGTAAGTATAGCTTCCTTTTAGCGGTCCCTGTTATCTGCAACTATCACTGTACAAAAAATTGTTGAAAATATCTTTATATGGTTTTCGTATGAGATAATGTTTCCATATACAGAGCATCCGTCGTTGATTATTGCCTATAGGAACGTAGATTTTTGTCATCGTCGAATGCAATGCAAACAAAAGATAATATACGACCAATTCACATTTGGTGGAATGTGATATTTTGCAGATATCAATATTTGTTTTGCTGCGACGTGCCTTTTGACGGTATATGTCGTGTGGTGTCCGTGTGCCATTTGATATCGATAACTGTATTAAATCGAAATATAATAACGGATATGTCAGAATATCGCTTGATGCTTGCAAAACCCGTGGTAATTTATACCCATAGAGTATTAATATAGCGTAAGCATGTTCGTCATTAGTCTTCGCACACGTATGGATTCCGCCGCCGCCAAGACAGTGAAATTGCGGTCATCACTCATGGATTGCAGTGTTATACTTGGATTGCAGTGGGGAAATCACCCGATAAAGTGACAGTGCAGTGTTATCAATAAATGTGTCGGTCTGTACGTGTACAGAATAAATACATGCTATACTTGGAGTGCAGTGTATTTTAGATGAACTAATATCACTGTGGCTGGCGGCGGTTCCACGTCCTATTTGTATGCACCTTGTTATTAACGCTACTGTTATCAATTTGTGTTCATACTTGTTTAACACATTTTATAACATGTCTTTACTAAAACTTATGTCTTAACAATCTCATATTTACACTTTGGTATATATTAAATATGTAATACCGAATATGGCTTATATCGTAGGAGTAGCTTAAATAACTTTTAGATCAAATGTATTTAGTTTAATGACAATTAAGAGTTCTTTTGAACTTGTATTTATTCTGTTCTGATTTAATATCCTAATATATATCTTAATATCCTAGTATATTTCTTCATTTTAAACGTTTTCTTTTTATCTTAGAATAGTTTCTTTTGCTTAAAGAATACGACACTAAGATTATACATAAATTAAAACAATTTTCGTATTCTTTATTTTATACGAATAATAGAAAACAACAATTATTTGTATAAAATAAAGAATACGAAAGAGAATTGGATTTTTTAAAATTATTATTAATATTAAACGTTTGAAGATAATATTGTTTACATACCTGATACAAGTAATGCAAAAATGTTTATTTTATTCTTTGAATAGTAAAATAGTTCTATTTCAGCAATCCTTTAGTGACAATATGAGATTGTATTTTTTTTACTAGTAAAAGATTTAAAGTTATCTATCAAAAATAATGTCCTTTGGATCTGAATATACAGATTATTTATTTATTTATTATTTATTTATTTACAGTAGTTATTCTGATATAATTATAGATCTAAGTCTCGTAACGTCATACATATATACTTTATATTTTACATAGCGTACGTTGCATAATTATGAGACTACTGTTAGTCATAAGGTAGTAAAAAATAAGACATAGACGAAGTAGGTATTCTATAACCTAAGAGTAACATGTTTTATTTATAAGTAATTTGCATTACCCATTATGATATCTACGTTAAAAGATCTTGATTTTTCTTGGAAGGATGAGTCACGCCTGTCTAAGTGCTATTTAGACCCGAGTTAACCGAAAAAATTTCTTTTGTTAAAAAAACTACTGCATGTTTACTGTTCACCACAGCTTGAACGCTGTTTAAAGATAATCTAAATCGACATCAGATTTTTCTTTAATTGAACATTGAACATCAACAGACGTTTTTATATCCATTCTATTAAATCTCTGTTGATATATTAAAAAAGGAATTACTTTTTAACATTTATATTAAATATTGTTTTCTTTAAAGCAATATGCTATTCCTACTGTACTCAAATGTGAAAATCATTATGATGAAGAAAAAAAAATCTATATACGTTTACAAATTAGAAATGCAAAATATTGGACATAAATTTTATTATTTTATTTATGAAATAACATTGTATAAAATATTTTAATTTTAATTGTTTCACAGTATTAAAATTTTCAACAAGTTTAAATTAAAAAAAGGCAAACAAAATATTTAACAGATTTTGATATCATTTGATTTTCAATAGTTTATAGTTTGAATGACATAATATAATATTTCGAGTAACTTATCTGAATTTACATGGTCGTGGTGGACAGAAAATTTCCAAATTCTTAAACTAAAATATGTTGAAGACACGTAAAAAATGTTTGAACGATAGTAAACTTTGGTCTACATACGGATAATTTTGTTATAATTATAGTTTTCAGCTACATATTAAAAATGTATAATAGATTTTTTAATGCCCTATAACTTCGTGATAAAAGCTAAAGTTAATGGCATGAATAAAATTAATTTTTCAATATGTTTCAACTTGATAAAGGTAACTTGTTTCGAATAAAAAAGGTTTCCATTTCATTTAGTGAGAATCCTTGTCGAAGATGCCATAAAAACGTCAACGTCAATGAATAAACATTTCTACATGAAGTTACTTTGTTGAATTATAAAAGCGTTTTGGTTGGCTTCTTTTTTAATAATATATCTAGGAGGAGTAAGTTGAAACTGCGAATAAGTTGTTTTAATAATTGTTATATCGAATTTTAATATCCACACATACATGTTTTTATGGTGTTTCTATTTGAAATTACTTAATATCTGAAGATTCGTTTCCTGGAAAGTAACTTTTATTTATAATGTTTTTAATAAGCTTTTGAGTCAAAGGATTCAATTTTGCTTTCCTTATACTACTGCAGTACTAGTTATTACCTCAGATATGTTGCATTGAACACAATTATAATTTATCACAAACCTGGTCGAAAGATTCTGGTTTTAAGGTAATTAAATGTTATAAGTTTTTATAAAAAGCTTATTTAACCGGTTTCCTGATTACAGCACGAGATTGGTTTTGCATTTCACAATCTTCCTGTCTGTCTATCTCATTTATCATGTCATGTAATGTTAAACTAGAAATAACACATAATCAGTATTTATTATTCACGATATGCCATGGAATTCAAGAATTTTTTGTTCTATTATTATCCTTTTTGGGCGTGTTTAGATTTTCTTAAAATATGGATTTTCGTACTCTTATTACACCAAAGTTTTTTAAAACAAGAATCATGAATATTTAACACGTGTTATTGTTTGATCTTCTTTAAAAGTTATATTAGGGTCTTAACGGATGTTATTTGGAAAATTTTATATTAATCTAATGTTTCTATCGTATGCTGTGCAATATTTTGCAGTAACACCTTTTAACGAACGTGATTTACTTGTCGGCTAAATATTTCCGGTATAACCGGTAATGTTAGGCAACTCTTGAGTAAAAATTTAAATAAATTTAAATGAAATTAAATTCCTTATTTATTTTTGTAAAAACATATAGTCATTTATTTATAATTTAAATCAATATTTAGCATTTGTTTTGCTTACGAGACTTATTGTAGGTACATTTTTAAAAACTATTGTCAGTATGTTTGTAGTAAAAGTTTACAGCGTTATTAAGAATTACAATAAAAAGTTATATATCCTTATCTTCTTAGAGCTTCCTTTTGTGTTAATGAAATCAGAACTATTCAAAATTATACAAAAACACATTTTAATAATGCAAATAGCTAAGTGAAATGAATAATAATAGTAACAAAAACCGTTCAAAAGCAACATTATTAACAATACAAGTATAAAATTTTATACTACACTATATATTGTATATAAATTAAGAGATATATTTTTTCAAATGGCTGCACACATTTCAGGTAATGCGTATCGCGCAATCTTAATGACTGTTATGGTCGGAAAGTTAGTTTTTTTATGTTTGGTGTACAGTCTTTGAAAAAAAAAATACAAACTTAATGTTATCTATTATATCCATTGTTCGTTTAGTTCCAAATTCGTTTTTACCTTAGTCTCTCAGCTGTCGGGTTTGAATGATCACTTTACTTTGTTTTTCAAAAAATTAAAAGTGGGGTTTCAGAAACATTGATATTTCTTTATACGCTTAATTTGATTTTTTAATGTAATCCAAAAATTCTTCAGACTTGGTATTACTTTTAATTCATTCCTATACGTTTATATGTATACGTCTATTTTTATCAAACAATTGAAGATTCGCCAAAGTTTAGATTTCTCTTTTATCTTTATTTATATACACTATTCTTTATTCTAGATAAAAATATAGATTTTCCTTGGTATTAACAAATGTTAAAATTCATGAAGTAATCTATTTGTCCAAATATAACCATTTCTAGAAGTCAAAAGATGTCTCAATGTTAATGGGTACACTTCAATCGGTCTGTAAGAAAATGATGACTCTATCGGAATACATCCGTGTTGAAGACAAACGCCATGATACTTAACAGTAATTCTTTTTATGTCTGTCATAACGTGAGAGACGTAATATTAAAGTTGTTGATCATTTAAGTTGTTTATTATAAACATTAATTCTTAATACGCCATTTGATCATGCGCCGCACTATAAATTTTATAATTGTTTAGTCCTCGATCATACACACCATTGTAGGATTTCTTTACAATAGACGTATAGTATATTTAAGAAGCGCACATCAATTGTTGATTTCCTTTTCCTGTAACACCGTGTATCACATTTAACCTTTAAACGAAGTAGAACATTATTTTTAACACTATAGAAATACTACCGTTTTCAGGATAAAATTCTTAAATGTAGTCATCACTAGTATGCTCCACAAGACATTTAGTATTATACACCAGTTTTTTCTGTATTTATTAGCAATAATTTCAAATTGTCCGATATGTGACTTAAAAAATTATAAGATATTTTGGTGAATGTAAGAAAATGATCTAGTAGATCCTAAGATTCCTAAACCTCTTGAATACAAAAAAATATTTTGGTAATATTCTCATATAATTTTGTTTCCATCTCACTATGATCCCATAGCTTTTATCATTGTGTATTTATAGCGTGTCTCTTCTACTTATGGTTTCTAGTTGTCTTCTGTCAAATAA